CCCGGGCAGACCAGGGAGACGTGGAGCAGCTTTTCTTGCCCCAGAGGACGCGGGTGGTAGGACCACGGCGTGTCTGGGCAGTCCCGCCACCCACGTCCTCTGGGGCGAGAAAAGCCCCGTTCGTAAGTACGGATCCGACGTAAGTAACCCGGGGACTACCTGTATTGCACAGTAGTAGTAGGGAATGAACAAGATATGAAGAGGAACTGAAGTTAGAAGTAGGAATGGGGAGTAGGCAAATTCAAGGAGAGCTTATAATGAAGACTTGATAATGAAGATGTGTTTAAATATATTGCTATAGTTCAGACTATCAGTATTTAGATGCCACACCAATAGTTGACACATGAAAACATTGGATAGAAACCTAAACAATGGCAAAAAGTACAGCCGCTCCCCGAGTTATGACCGTTCGCACTTACGACCAAAGCTCCCATGGAGCGATTAAGGCGGTCCCCAAGTTACGAACGTGACCCGCGCTTACGAACAGCGTGGTCGTGTGTAACTCAGTGGGGTCCGAGTTACGAACAGTTCGAGTTACGGACCAAATGTTGGTCCGTAACTTGTTCATAACTCGGTGAGTGGCTGTACAGCAATTCCTTTACTACCTCGGGCTAATGAAAACAATTTCAATTTAAAAACTCCCTGGGGTCTTTTTCTGATAGCTGACATCTCTTACAAGGTACTCTGTCAAAACACTCCCCTCTTGTCAGGATGCATTGTTCAACCAATCTCTGCTTCAGTTGGTTCTCCTACCAGTTCCTGTTCAGGGCAGGCAGTATTGCAGGTAAATCAATAATCATCTTATCTACACACTCTGTCCGTACCGTCGACATTACTGCTCCTAGGTAAAATAGGCAGATGCAAAGATGATGCAAAAGTACGACTTACTGTTTTTTTTTAAAAACATGTACTATAGAAGGATTTATTCCTGGGGGATTCACCCGAAAAATGTGACAGTTTTAAAGCTTAATCAGCATGACTTCAGAAAGCCAGTGCACATTGATACCTCAACTTTAACTCTATTTTGGCTGATAATTTTGAAAAAAATACCTAATTGTAACTCTGCATAGAAATTGAGCTCATTATACTTTTTACACTTCTTATCTCCTAATTCCACCCAAGTCTGCACTACGACTGCATCATCAGTTACAAATAGAAAACACAGTTCACTGCATTTGCATTTTGCCAGGATGCAATCAGAACTTGCAGAAATCTATGTTAATTTGAATTAACAAGGGGAACCTCCCAAATTCTAGTTACTGCTCTTACAATTATAGACACAGAATGTACAGAATGCCAGTACTTTACACTTGTTCAGGTTTGGTCGTCTTGAAGAAATTGAAACAGAGATAGAATAGGCTCAGAAAATATCAACCCTGGTCAAAGGCCTGGGAGATTTACTTATGATGTCCTAATCTAGGAATATTTAGTGCAGAAAGGTAATTTAGGAGAGTTTTGAAGCTTAGTTAGAGAAACTTAAGTAGCTTGTAGGATCAAGCCCTTATGTTCAATTGAACACAGGAGGTGGTGCTCAGCATTTCATGAAATAAATTTGAGGTATTAGAAACAATTAAGGGAGTTAACAATAATTGTGTGGGACTACTGTTTCCTGTGTCTCATGCTACAAGAATAGACATTCAAAGCTGGAAAGTAGAAAGTAATGCCATTTATTTTAAATTACTAAACTGCACACAGTACTTAATGGCATATAATTTAGCAGTGTTTTTTAAAGGATTAAACTAACACTTCCTGCTGTGCAGGCTAGAATAAAAACACATGAAGAATCCAACCTGTGAAGAACAAGCGCTCATTTGTGAGGGAATGGAATGAATGTTTTTTCTCAAGTATACATATACAACAATTGTCTTCCTGTGTGTGGGAAGATTTTTGCCTTCTTTTGAAGCATTAGGTAATGTTGCTCAAAAGTTCACTCATGTCTGACCATGTTTTTATAATTTTTACTTTTTCCATTTTATGAAATGTAAACTCGAGGTACAAAAAAAGTCATGTGTAAAAAGTATCAGTTGACACAGCTATTCTAGAATTCTCCAGTCACAGAAGGAAAAAACATGTTTCCCTTTGTCTTCCTCAGATTAGCTGTTTGTTACCATTTCCCAAATAGATGTTTCATGCTAACGTAAGTTTTTTTTACCCCCAAAGAAATCCTTTCAAGGGCAGCTAGTATTCTGCTGCACTTGCATTTACATTATTGGAGCTATTCAGTGTTAATGCAACTGTTCTATTGGTACAGCTGACTTAAAATATAATATTCATTCTCATGTACTTAAATGTATTTCCTTTAGTATAATAGTTATTTTAGTCTTTGAATATTCCTGATTTATTATTCCTGAGTTATTTTATTATAGCTTTTAAATTCATTAATGTCAAATATTTTGTCTTACAGGAAAGAGTAGGAAACTTCTTGGCAGACTTCTATTTGGTCAATGGACTTGTTTTAGAATCTAGGAAAAGAAGAGAACATCTCAGTGAGGAGGATATTCTTCGAAATAAGGCCATCATGGAAAGCCTGAGTAAAGGTGGTAATTTGATGGAACAAAATTTTGAGGTACAGTTAACTTGTTCTCTACACCAAATTTTATTCTGGGGAATAAGTGTAGTCTTCACACTTGATACTTAATAAGCTTAATAGAGAAAAATTTAGTTTGTTTCCTCTTTCCTGTTTTAAAACATTAGAACTGGTTTATTACTCTCTAATCAATATAGTCTTTCACCTGTTTAATTCCTTCTGATTGATTATTCTGAATATTTCAGTGAGTGACTTAAAAATAGATCCCTGAACTTTCCTGATGGCTTTTATCATAAGGTGGAATTCTTTCTGATTGACTGAATCCGAATATTTTAGTTTTCTCGACTAGTCACTTACATCCCTAATTCAGATTCAAGTTGCTTCCTTTGTTACCTATAGGAAGAAATAATCCAACTGCTATTTTTACTGAAAAGATAAAAAAATTTCCATTTAATTTTGACTTTTCTCCTCTCACTGTTTGTTGTGATTTGACTAACTTCAAAATGCTCCTCAGTTGAAAAGCACCTTCTTAACGTAGTCCAGTGCCACTGGGTACAGCTTTGCACAATTGACCTAATATGTAAAATGCACACCATCTTACATTGTTAATGTTAGTAATGTACTATACAAGCCATCAATCTTGTTTTCTTACTGTTCTGTTTATGGACTAGTAGAATTGAATAGTCAGCATATGGCACAATTATTTTGCTAAGGTGAGCATCAGTATACTTCTTTTCTGAAAATGAATATTAAATGTGACATTGGATAATGGGAGACACTATCAACTATGAATGTCCATTCACTGCCAGGAAAGAAGAACACGTAGATTGTTTTAACACTAAACATGCCTTGATGATACTAGGATTTCATATAGGTTAGTAAGAAAGGAGCCCTTAAAATCCCTGCTTTTCAAAGCAGGCTAAAACTGCTAGAAGCAGAATATAGCAATTTGGACAAAAATGATTAGGAATAAAAGAACCATTATAATGAATTTGCTATAGTAATACACCACTGGTTCTCTCACTTTTTGGCCCACATCCCACCCTGCTCAGCACAGACCTTTCTGCAGACTACCAGCCAACCAACTATCATGACAAAATAGGTGCAGGAGGGGGTGGTAGTTCAGAGTGGGAGGTGGGGTGCAGAATGTGTGGGGGGGTGTCTCAGCGGGAGTGTGTGTTAAAGGGAGCTGATGGTGTAGGATCTGGGCATAAGGGGGATAGGGGATGTCCTGGCTGTGTGCCTCCCATTGCTCCCAGACACTGCCTCTTCTCCCCCCTCCTCCCCACAGCTCCCATTGACCATGATTACAGCCAATGAGAGTAGTGGGAAAAGCCTCCAGGCTAGTGGTTTCCTGCGCTGCCATTCCCTCAGCTAGTGGGAGATGGAGCTGTAGCATGCAGAGCTGCTTCCTTCCCCCGCAAGCCGGATCCATCTGCAAGACTCGCTTCCCCCCTCCTCCTCTGAGGGAAGCCTGAGCTGGCACTCCAACCTTGTGGCTGGAACACCAATGCAAACTCCCCGCTGCGAGGTGGGTGAGCCCCAAGCCCACAGCTCACCTGCAAGATGGTTGACCACACTTTGAAAAACACTGTAATACACCTAAGAATGCACTCTTTTGGATTGCAGGCTGTTTGGAGCAGGAATTTTTCTGTTTGGAAACCGCCTAGCAGATTTTGGGCAGTACCATAGTCTCAGTAAGCCAAGCTAGAATGGGAAACTGGCATCTCAGGAATACTCATTGGAATTTGGACAGTAATAAATACATTTTCTCTCAGATGGGAAATTTGTTTTATCCTGGACTTTCTTTTCACAATCATTTCCCTTCCAGTCACCTTCCTTATTATGCTTGAAGCTTTTTTTAGTCCTCAGAATAAATCTTGTCATGCTTCTGTTGTGTTCAGTGTTGTTGCCTGTTGTGTTCTGGGCAGTAATGACATAAGCCAGTCTCATAAACCATCCTGGGTGTAAACGTTGCATCAGTGGGAAGATTTCCAGATTGGTGTGAGATTTTTACTGTCTTTGTAAATCTTCAAGAATTGTCCTGTTTTAGTTCAAATTCTTTGAGTACCATCAAATAAGGTGGCTTAATCCTTGGCAAGACCTTATGTGGGAACTTTGAAGTCTGCTGAAGTGCAAGGAGCTGCAGGAAAATTAAACTTTATAGTATTCTTAGGAATACCTTACAATTAGGGCTGTCAAGTAATTAATCACGTGCGCCTTCCCTTTGAAATGCTGCAGCAGTCTTTCAATGGGGTAGCACTGCATAGAGACCGGGATCAGCTAGATTCCCCAGCTGACCCTGGGCTCCATGTAGCACTACCCATTTGAAGTGCAGGGCAGCATTTCCAAGGGACAGCGCAAGGCAGAGCCCCGGATCAGATAGAGTGCCCAGCTGATCCTGGGCTCTGCATTGTGCTGCCCCTTGGAAACGCCATCCTGGCACCTCAAAGGGGCAGCACATGAGCTGGAGCTGATCCCCCAGTAGGGAAGTTAAAGACTAGCCAACTAGTGGACTAGTCAATTCTCTCCCCCCAACCCCCTTCGCTGCATCTATCACACAGAAGCAGCAAGGGTGGTGGTAGTTAGGGGTACTTCAAAGTGGCAGCACCGCACAGCTGTGCAGCGCTGTCGCTTTGAAACCCAAAGGTGGTGTTTCAAAGGGGCAGCTGTGGAGCCCAGGATCAGCTGGGGAGTACGCAACTGACCCTGGGCTCCGCAGCTGCCCCTTTGAAATGGAGTCCCTAGCTGACCCTAGTTTCTCTTGCCACGGGGAGTCCAGGATCAGCTGGGAGTCCCCAGCTGACCCCAGGCTCCACAGCAGCTGTCCTTTTAAAATGGCGCCTCCACACGTGTTTCAAAGGGGCAGCCATGGAGCCCAGGGTCAGCTGACTGCCGCCCAGCTGATTCCGGGCTCCGTGCGGCACTTCCCTCGAACCTGGGGTCAGCTGCCTCTACATGTTTCAAAGGGGCAGTGGAGTCCAGGTTGTGCTGCCCCTTTTGAAGCGCTGCAGGTGCACTTCAAAGGGATAGCGCTGCATTAACACCATCAATTAACGTGTTAAAAATCTAACGTGTTAATCCTGGACTGCGTTAATCGCAGGCGTTAACGCATGTCAATTGGCAGCCCTACTTACAATATCTTTGTCCAAATATCTAGTTTAAAGGAAAGTTTCTTTTATTTTAAAGAGAAAAGGGTGCGTATGATAAGTCAGTATGAAGATGTTATTTGTAGCAGACATTAGCCATGATTTCCATCAATCTATTTCCTGTTACTTATTATCCTGTTGTTCATGACTATTGCGGAATTAAAGTAGCAGACTTCCAAGTGTCCACATGCCAAGTTAAAAACCATGGGAAGGAAGAGCAGGAGATGGAAATATTTGGTGAAACTGTTGAAGTTGGCTAGCTTCATATTGTTTGAACTTATGCATTTTATAGTAAGATTGCAAATATCCATTAAAAAAGCTAACCAGTGAAGATATAATTGTGATTTTTTTTTTTAACTGGTTAACAGTGTGGGTGAGTCTGGCCAGACCGCTGCATGTGGGAGGCTTCTTCAGCCTGGCCTTCCACAGAGGGAGGGCGGGAGGGATGTGGAGGGTCTGCTGCTCCAACCAGCCAGGGTCCCAATGCAGCGTGAGGGGTGGGTGGCTGCTGCTCTGGCTGGCTCTAGTCCTGCCAGGCCACAGCAGGCAGGGAAAGGGGAGAAAAGAAGGCTGGGCTGCTGCAACTGGCTGGGCTCTTCAATGGCAGGGGGAGGGCAGGCTGCTTTGCCCTCCCATCCCCCGATCAGCCCTCTGGTTAACCTTTTACATCCCTATTTTATAGATTGCAAAGTGCAGTTTTATCTTTGGAACAATGTACTACCATGCAATAATGTAGTTTTAGAAATAGTGATTGCTTGGTTTTCCTTAACAGCCTGTCAGACGACAGTCCCTCACTCCACCTCCACCCAACACAATTACGTGGGAAGAATACATATCTGCTGAAAATGGAAAGTAAGTCTGTCAATTTCTTTTGAAGACAAGGAATTCTTAATTGTAGGTATTTCCTTTTTTAGCTTGTTTTTACATTGCCATAGCTTCTGTGTTTTTTCTTGTCTTTTATGTGTAAAACACACTTTTCACCAGGCTGGCTTGATTGAAAAAAGGGCTAGGGAGGATATAACTATATAAATAATTTGACAATATAATCTGCCACTATAATTAAAATATAGCAATATTTTGTAAACTTGTGGACTACTTAATATCTGAAGCCAATACTTAAAAGGTTAAGTTCTGTGTTTAATATATTTCGGTAAAGCTTTCTGTGTACATGTATGCTTAAGGTGTAGTTCAAATGAATTGCTAGCACCAAACAGACCTTTGCTTTCACTTTAGGCATGATGTAATAATAATGAGTTTAGTCACAAGATATTTTACATCCATAAGCATGCACTTTCTGAAACAATGTGTGAAACTTAGTAGCAGCCATATTTTGTGTAAGATGCATTCTTCTTCGAGTGATTGCTGATGACCATTCCATGTAGGTGTGTGCACACAGTGTGCACACGTTGTCAGAAAGTTTTCCCTTAGCAGTACCTGTCGGGTCAGCAGGGGAGCCCCTTGGAGTGGCAGCACTGTACCCCCAGTATATACCCCTGCTAGCCCTCCTCCCCTTCAGTTCCTTCTAACCACCCATGACGGTCGTTGGACTGTGCTTCTGTTCTTGCTTAGCTAGCGCCCTTTCGCAGTTACCTAGTGTTAAAGTTCTTTGTTCTAGTATCATAGTTATGGTTCTTATCAGTTTTTTCTCCGTTTAAGTGGTGTTTCCTGAGCTAAGGGACTCATGGCAGTTCCTGCTCCGTGCGCCCAGTGCGTGCAGCAGGACATGTCTTCGGGCTGCAAGGTTTCACGCCCTGTGAGAGGTGCCAGAGCCCTTTGGCCTGTGGCAATCCAAACTCTGCCTGCCTTAAGTGCTTGGGTAAGGCCCACTTGTCTGAGGCCTGTAAAATCTGTAAGGTGTTCAAGCCATGCACAAAGTGGGAGAGAGAGTCGCACTTCAAGATCATCCTAATGGAAGCAGCTTTGCGACTGACACCTAGAGCGCACTGGCCTCGGTGAGGGCGGCATGAAGCCATTCGTGTGCCTCACCAGCACTGCGCAGAACCCAGCATTGCTACCGGTCCCCGGTGCTTCAGAAAAAGAGGAGGCTCAGCAGGGGCAGGTCACCTCCACGGCACATGCCCTCCCTGTGCCCTCACGTGGGGTATGTGGCACCACCGAGCCTGGACCTAGGTTGGGCAAATGACCTAGTCCACAGGGGACCCAAGTCCATTGGGAGACTTCCTAGAGCACTTGACTCCAGAGGCCTTTGAGGCTACTAGGGACTTAATTGAACTGCCCCTGTCTTCTACTTTGGCTCCAGCCTCAGCCAGGGATTTGGAACCCAGTCGGCACTAATGGGAGGTTAGGGCACCCAGTACTCTGGAACCGAGAAAATGCTGCCACGGCACCGGTAGCAACTTCAACCCCAGCCCTTTCCTCGGCACTAGACCCAACACTGAGACAAGGGTCTCAAGCGGCACAGAGTGCGGCACTGGCTGCCGCGACCTCCAGCCTTGCCAGAGTGCACCAGGCTCTTCCTTCTCCTCCTCCCCCTCATCGGCACCGAGGCAAGCCAGAGTCGATGGTCAGGCACGCCCCAATAGCAGCATTGCCAGCTGCATCTGCCTCCGCTCCATCCTGGTCGGTCTTGGGAGTACTCTGTCGACTAGAAACGGAGTCCACATGGTTGTCCAGGGGAACCAGATTCTGGTCTCGGCACTGGTCCTATTCCCATCATTGATCACAGCACCGTAGTACCTCTGCCCGTCAGCAACAGCCCTAATGGACACAGCCAGTCCTGGTACAAGGGATGCAGTAGTCATGGGCCCCACTGGCACCAGCTCCATCTCAGTGACCGTTTTGGACCCCAGGGGCCTACCACCAGAGCCAGCGTGTGGGCCCTTTTAGACCAGAGTCAGTTTTCTCTAGGTCCAAGGCATCTCCTTCAGCAATCCCATTCACTCGGTCCCCTACATCAGGGCTGTTGCTCCTGCCAGGCCAGATCTCACATCCCTCAGAGACCGAGGGCCTTGGGGTCCAGCCAACTACAGTGCCCTCATCGGTGCCTCTCAAGCCCCTTTGCAGGCTGCAGTCCGTGTGAAGACAGGCCTGAAGGGGTCCTCATCTTTTTCTTCGAATGAGGCCTTGGGCGACACTTTTCCGCTCCATGGACTCGAGGGCACACCAGGACCTCCTCCTTTGCCAACTGACCCAAAGCCTGGGGGTCCAGGCTGAGAGGATATCGGAGGACCCTACTGTCGTCATCCTGCAATCTGACACCCCCACTAGAGTGGCCATCCCTATCAATAAAATGGTGGCCAAAATCTCCGAGTCCCTCTGGCAAACCCCGGCCACTGTTCCATCAACGGACAAAAAGTCTGAGTGGCGGTATTTCATTTCTCACTAAGGGAGCGAGTACCTTTTCTCTCATTCACTGCCAGGGTTGCTGGTTGTCCAGGTGGTGAACCAGAGGGAGAGGCAAGGCCAGCCGGACACCACCCCTAAGAACAGGGTTGCCAAAAAGACGGGCCTGTTAGGAAGGAAGGCCTACATGTCCAGAGGAGTCTGATTTCGCATAGCGAACCAGCAGGTTCTGCTGTTCCACTATGCCTGCAACACCTGGGCCTCCATGGACAAGTTTACCAAACTGCTCCCCAGGGATTCTCGGCCTGAGTTTAGAGCTCTCTTGGAAGAGCGCAGAGCGATTTCCAGGGCTGCGCTCCAAGTTGCTCTCAACGCAGCCGATTCGGCTGCATATGCCATGGTGACGGGGTTGATGTTATGCTGTTGCTCCTGGTTGCAAGGGTCAGAAGTGCCCCTGGAGCTCTAAAATATGATTGAGGACCTCCCCTTCGAGGGCCTGTCTCTGTTCTCTGAGCAGACAGACCAATGTCTGCATGGTCTCAAGGATACCCGGGCCACATTAAAGTCATTGGGCATTCGCACCCCAGCTACCCAACGGTGATCTTTCTTGAGCAGCAACTCCGTAAGCCTTTCCAGCAGGGTGCATGCCTTGACTTCTCCCATCGCTGCAGTAGGAACAGTAATGGAAGGAATGACAGGCGCTGTCCCCGGCCACCCCAGAATCAGGGACACGGGCCGCCTAGCAAGTCCTCAGGGCCCCGTCAAAGGCTTTGAGTGTATGCCTGAGGATAGCTCACCAGACTCGTCCCTCCCTTTCTAGGATCGCCTGTTCCCTTTCTGCCGGGCCTGGGAGTCTTACCTCAGACTGCTGGGTCCTAGAAATGGTGGGTCCTAGAAGCCATGTCCTCTCCATCCATTCTGCTTCTCCTTCCCATCCCCCTACCCCGTCCCTCTTCAGGGACCCCTCTAATGAGCTGCTTCTTCGGGAGGAGGTCCTTCAGCTCCTCACCCTGGGGGCTGTAGAGCCAGTTCCCCCCAGGGTCTTGGGCAAGGGCTTCTTCTCCCAGTATTTCCTGGTACCCAAAGCCAAGGGTTCCATCCCATCCTGGACCTCAGGGACCTCAATGCCTTCATCATCAAAACCAAATTCAAGATGGTGACTCTTGCATTCATCATTCTGTTCCTAGCTCTGGTACACTGCTCTTGCTCTAAAAAATGCCTATTTTCACATTTCCATTGCACACCACCCGTCGGTTCCCCTGTTTTATGGTGGGCAGAGACCACTACCAGTTTATGGCCCTCCCCTTTGGGATTTCTACGGACCTGTGGGGCTTCTTCACAAAGTGTATCATCATAGTAGCCGCTGCTCTGAGGAGTCCAGGTGTTTCCCTATCTGGATGTCTGGCTCTTGCGAGGTGCCCCACAAACAAAGTGGGGGACCACATCGCCTTGGCCCAGGACCCCTTCTGGGAGTGCTCCTGAATGTGTCCAAGTCGACTTTTTGGTGCCCACTCCAGTGATAGCATTTGTAGTTGCCAATCTGGACTCCACATCAGCAAGGGCCTCCCTCCCTAAGTCCCGCTTCCTGGTGATCAGGCCGGCTGTTTGGGACATGCAGACATTCCTGATAACCATGGCCAGAACTTGTATGCAGCTTCTAGGTCTAATGGATGCATGCACATACATCACCCAACATGCCAGGCTCCGCATGCTCCCACTGCATATGTGGCTCGCACGGACTCAACCCATCCTTTCACCCATGGGAGAGAGTGGTGACGGTTTCCTCCGAGGTCTTTCACTCCCTGGAAGGGTGGTCCTGGGAAGAGGAGGTCTGTGCCTGAGTACCGTTCGCCAGGCCTTTCCTGACCCTCCAGCTAGGGATGGATGCATTAGACAAAAGGTATGTAGACCAGGGACAATCTCTCCCTGCACATCAATGTCAGGGAGTTACGGGCCGTCCACCTTGCCTGTGTGGCTTTCCTCCTTCAGCTTGGGCAAGTCAGTATTCATCCTGTCTGACAATACGTTGGTGGTCTCATATATCAACAGGCAGGACAGGGCCCATTCTCATCACCTTTGTTGAGAAGCCCTTCACCTGTGGGATCTCTGCATTGGGACGGACATTCATCTAGTGGCCTCCTATCTCCCGGGCTACCAGAACGATCTGGCGGATCGGCTAAGCAGATCCTTCTCCGGCCATGAGTGGTCCCTCAGAGGGGATGGATCTTCCCACAAGTGGGGCTTTCCTCTTCTGGACCTGTTTGCCACACAACAGAACAGAAAGTGCCAGAAGTTCGGCTCCCTCGTGGAGCTGGGTGGGGATCTCGGGGAGATGTACTAGTCACCCCCTGGGCCGTGGGGTCTGTTCTCCATGTTCCTGCTGTTCCTGTTAGTCCACAGGGTGCTCCTGTGGGTGTGGGAATTTGGGGCGTCCCTGATCCTCATCGCCCCCATCATGGCCCAGGCAGCACTGGTTCTTGACCCTCCTGAGCCTGTCATGCGAGAAGCCAATAGCTGTCCCACTGGTTCTGGACCTAATCTCACACTACTGCAGCAGGCTTCGACATCTGGACCTGCGCTCCCTGACTTCACAGTGTGGAAGCTCCGTGGCTGCTGGTGGCAGAGCTTCAGTGTTCAGCTCACATGCAGAAGGTGCTGTTGGACAGTAGGAAACCTCCACCAGGGCTACATATTTAGCCAAGTGAAAGCGGTTCAAATTTTGGACTACACAGAGGGGAATTTCAGCTATAAATGCCCCAGTCCCCCTGGTCCTGGACTATCTTTTGGATCTTAGGTTACATGGGGTTCTCCTCCTCCTTGATTAAGTTATCTCTGCTTTCCATGTGGGTGCCGGGGTAAGACCCTTTTCGCGGACTGGATGATGAACAGATGTCTAAAGGGCCTGGACAGGCTTTACCTGCACATCTGGCAACCTTTTCCCCAGTGTGATTTCAACTTGGTGCAGTCTAAACTTATGGGACATCCCTTTGAACCCCTGGCAACGTGCTCGTTATTGCACCTGTCCTAAAGGTATCCCTCTTGGTGGCCATCAAGTCGGCCAGGCGTGTGTCCGAGCTGAGAGCTCTTACTTCGGTTCCCCCATATACGGTTTTCTTCAAGGACAAAGTCAGGTTGTGCTCCCACCCTGCCTTCCTGCAGAAGGTGGTGTCCAACTTTCATGAGTCGCAGCACATTTTGCTACCTGTTTTTTACCCCAAGCCCTACATATCGGGTAAGGAACAGGCGTTACATATGTTGGATGTCAGGAGGGCTTTAGCCTTGTATTTAGAGAGAATGAAGCCCTTCTGCAGGTCACCTCAGCTCTTTGTTGCTATTGTGGAATGGCTGAAAGGCCAGCACAAAGGATCTTTTCCTGGATCACAGCCTGTATTAGGGAGTGCTATGGGCTGGCTGGGGTTCCAGCTTCTTCCATCACGGCCCACTCTTCTAGAGCTCAGGCCTAATAGCAGCTTTTGTGGCTCGGGTCCTGATCCTGGATATCTGCAGGGCCACCACATGGTCTTCTGTTCACACCTTTGCCAATCACTACGTGCTGACACATCGGACAAGGGAGGATGCTGTCCTCCATTCAGTGGAAGGTTAGAACTCCGACCCTGGCTCCTAGGGTTTCTGCTTTGGAGTCACCTACACGGAATGGACATGAGCAATCACTCGAAGAAACGGTTACTTACTTTGTAGCTGTTGTTCTTCGAGATGTGTTGCTCATGTCTATTCCAAATCCCACCTGCCTTCCCTTTTTTGGAGTGATCTGGTAAAAAGGAACAAATGGAGTGGAGGGCCCAGCAGGGGTATATATTGGCTGGTATAGTGGTGCCACTCCAGGGGGCTCCTCTGCTGGCCCGACGGATATTGCTAGGGGAAAAATTTCTGACAACATCTGCATGCTGCGTGCATACACCCACGTGGAATAGACATGAGCAACACATCTTGAAGAACAACGGTTACAAGGTAAGTAACTGTTCTATCTTCATCTAACACCAAAGTTAACTACTTGTTGCCAATTACTTGTATACTGCTGTGTACATTGGGTAAGATCAGCATTTTGGTAAAAATAGTTTTCCTTGTTCCAAAGACCTCTCAATATATATAAAGAAGTTACAAGAAGTAGAGTGAGGGTAATAAAAAAGGAGGGAAGGAGATGTATAGAGCAAGGTTTACAAAATGTGATTACTTAAGACATGGCATCTTGAGGTTTTCTAAAATGTATTAACTGACCTACATATGGGAGCTGACAAAAGTAAGTATATAAGGAGGGATATGAGTAATTACACACAAGCTCATCTATTAATATGAGGAATGAGAGAGATTAAACGTTAATTTTTTGCTTATTCTATATATAAACTACGCATTTGACAATACAAATATCTGAGAGAATATGAGTGTCCAGTCTGTATTTCCAGTGAATAAAAAGATAAAAAATTTGTTTTATATCCTGCTCCATTACAAAATTGTGTCCTCTGTTGTGTTCTTCAATGTTTCGTCCATTCTATCTTTATATTGACTACAGTAGAAGAATTTTCATTATCCATTCCAGTCTGATGGCTTTCATAGCAGGAATTTAACATTCAGTCTAAACTCTTCCTGTCCCAAGTTCATTGTGGTATTTCTTGTACTCCCATGGACAACGCTAAACAGTTTCCTATTCCATCTTGGTTGGTTTTCATAGATTCCTCCATAGTTTTCAGTTAGCTAAATATGGATAGGATTGTGCTGTTTTAATCTTTTTTTTCATATGTCCGCTCCTTAATTTTTATTTCTTTTCTGTGAGTTCCCTAGACCTAATGCTAAGCTACATAAACATGACTCCATTTCTTTTTCTCTGTTAAGTATAGCTTTTATTTCAAATTAATTCTCTTAAACGTAATTTTTTGTGTGTCTTAACTCTTTTTTTAGGTTTGACTTTTATCTTTCATAAAAGCAAATGTCTCACTGGAGTGTTTTTAACTTTTTTGTTTGTTTAAAGAGCTCCTCACCTGGGTAGAGAGTTGGTCTGCAAAGAAAGCAAGAAAACATTTAAAGCTACAATAGCTATGAGCCAGGAATTTCCCTTGGGAATTGAATCGTAAGTCAGAATTGTCTGTAAAGCTTCATATGTGGAGAAATTAAGTTACTTACCTGTGTTGTAACTGTTCTTTGAGATGTGGATGCAGACATATAATCCACTCTAGTGTGTGCATATTTATTTTCTTGACTTTCTCCTTTAATGTCTTTAACTTCTTTACTGACTCTTGGATAAGGAAAAATACAAATGGTTTATACTGGCGGCGGCAGCATTACTCCTTTTCTCAGACTTTCACTTAGAAATCCACAGTGGAATGAGTTAGCTCTTCCAAAACAAGACAGTTGTATAAAGTAGTAATGATCAGTGATTATGGGAAAATATTAAGGAGATGAAACCCAAGGTGTGTCTATACTACATCCCTCTTTCAACAGAGGGATGTAAATTAGGCACTTTGAAATGGCAAATGAAGCCGGGATTTGAATTTCCCGTGCTTCATTTGCATAATTGCGTCATGGCACGCTTTCGGAAAAGCGCTATTTCTAAAGTAAAACCGCAGTTTAGACGCGGTTCTTTCGAAAATAGGAGCCTTTTCCGAAAGAGCTTGTAAACCTCATTTTTTGAGGTTTACAGGATCTTTCGAAAAAGCCTTTCCTTTTAGAAAGAACTGCATCTATACTGAGGTTTTACTTTCAAAATAGTGCTTTTTCAAAAGTGCAAATGAAGCACAGGAAATTCAAATCCCAGCTTCATTTGCCATTTCAAAGTGCCTAATTTACAATCCTCTGTCGAAAGAGTGATGTAGTATAGACACACCCCATGTCTGTAAATTACCTTTACCAGATGGGTCCTTACTTTGGATAGGCTGTTTCCTCCTTTCTCACTCTACAGCTTCAGCGAGAAGGGAAAAATAGTAATTGGCAGCATGATTTTAAGGTTCAGTTTCTCATTTTTCAAAAAGGGTAGAAACAAAAGTTGATTGGAAATTGGACTTTAAAATTGTAACTAAATCAAAGCAGCACTGCTCTCTCATCACAGGTATGGGAGGGATGTATTAGTACTCTAATTTTCAGTCTTTTAACTTTATTCGTTATCTGTTGCATCAGTGTAAAAAATGTGGAAGAAATTAATCTGGTAAAAGTTAAGAGCTTCTAATGAAAATACTTTCCTTTTCAGATTATTGAATGTTTTAGAAGTAATTGCACCCTTCAAGCACTTTAACAAACTTAGAGAATTTGTTCAGATGAAGCTTCCACCAGGCTTTCCTGTAAAGCTAGGTAAGATAACACTTTCAGTTTCTACTAAGGTGACCCTCCCATTTCCAAGAAGCTGGGGCAGGAGAGTGTTAATTGAAATGACTAAACTAGTGTCATGCATTTTTGATTGTCAGGAAAGTTCATTCTCTACTACAGTGGACTGCCACAGCCTTAAGAGGAATATAGTCCAGGTCTTAGTGAATGGAAGAAACAGAATCCCATTAGGTTAGTGAAAGACTGAGGAATATGGGTGAGAGAGGTTGAGAAATCAGCAATGAAGAAGTCACTTGCTTTACTATTCACTATAGAGGCTTGAGTGAACAATGGAAGCTCCAGATTATAAAACTATCACCCTTTCCTAGTACTGGGGCTCATTCTGAAATAATGACTACATTGTGTGGTGGCACCCGGGGAAACCGCGGACTGTTTGAATTAAGGAATGATCTTGGCCATAAGTAGAGGAATACGCTTTTGATAATGTTAATTCTGTGAACATTCCAATCAGGACTATTGCCAGGGTCCCTAATGCTACATCTTCATCTGGCTGATTTTCTTTCTTTGTGAATAATTCAGAATATCATCCACATTTACTATTTATTGCACCTTGTGATTGCTGTAAATCACCTGAGAGAAATGCATGTTCACACTAGAGATGTGAAAGTTTTAAAGGAAGAATCACTCTTAAGGGGTGATGATTACTGGTTCCGGGTTAACTGGTGGAGGCTGGAGTAGCTCCCTGCTGTTGGAAGGGGGCTGCTCCAGCCTTGTAGGGCCTGTTTCTGATAGTGGCTGGGCCTGGGGTTGGGGCTGCTCTAGGAATGGAGCAGCCTCTGTCTGTGGTGGGCCCAGGCACTCCGTAGGCAGGGGCTACTTCAGTCTGGGGGCTGCTCACTTCCCCCTTTTAATTGGTTTACCAGTTAAACAGGTTTTACATCTCTGTCTCAGTTCCTGCCAATAGATGGATAAAACATATTTGCTAATTAGTGTGGACAGATTCAGATTACTGTAGCAAAACAAGACAGAAAGACAAACCCACCCCGGTCACAAAAAGCAGCAGAGATCCAACGATAAACTGCTTCTTCAGTCCATGGTGGTTTGTTATAAATTGCATGATCCCACAGTATTTAGTGGGAACTTCTTGTGGGATATTGACCATAACTTTTAAATACTATTTGGGTTCATTTTAATCCAAACTAATTTGCCTGGAATTTGAAGTGAGCCATCTTGATGTATGAAAATGTTTGTAATTTTATTTAACCATTTTGCCACTTGTGCACTCATTTTGTCCATCAGGAACCAGAACCTGAAGTACTGAATATTGCAAGAGCCTAGATTTCTAGTACAATTTTACTCCTTTAGTAAATTCAGGTGTTTATTCAAAGCATTTAGAATTTGTAATCTGACCCTTGAGGTTTGCAAATCATTCAGGTCTTTTCTACACAGGGAGTAGCTATTCCTGTGTGGGATGTGTTTATTCTGCAGTTAAGAGTACAATATTTCAAATTAACTATTCCTGAGAAAACAGTAGATTAAACTAATCTGCTTTCACTTCACACACTTGTTCATTTTCATGTGTAGACAGATCAGTAATGTGTTTGAAATATTTCAAAATTCAAAAACCTAGACACAGTGAAAGGGAAACTGGTTAACCGGTGCCAGGAGCAGGCAGTGGCAGTCCTGGTGCTGGAGGCCAGGAACCAGTTCTGCATGAGGCTGGTAGTGGAAGCCCTGCGAGCTGGGCGCTGCTCCAGCCAGGTTGGAGCTGTCCTCCACCAGGGATCCTGCTTACTGGACTGACTGGTTAAATATTAAATTGGCCTAGCATGTAGCTGGTTTTCTGGTTAATCAGGATTTTAAATCCCTGTCCCCAATCACAAGAGTATGATACAGTTTATTAAGCCAATTGTTATGTAATAACTGTTTAACCCTTTCTCTGCGTTTTTCACGGGGCCATTGTGCTCCTTCCAGACATACCTGTATTTCCTACCATCACGGCCACGGTGACATTTCAGGAGTTTCGCTACGATGAGTTTGACGAATCCATCTTCACTATTCCTGATGACTACAAGGAGGATCCCAGCCGTTTCCCTGATCTCTAATTTAACTGGAAGGTTAATGACAATACCAGCACACCACAGTGAAAGCAAGTGGATGCAGATAGCCCACAAATACAATTATAGAAGTGGTTCAAAATGGAAAGGATAAATCTTTTTTAAATGATCCAGAAGAAAAGGGAACACACACAACTTATGTACTGAAATTCACTATAATGGGCATCTAATCTAGTACCTGACTTGCAAGTTTCCTGATGTCATTTATATTTTATACATACAGTGCTGCGAGTGTGATAGTTTGACACCTCAGCAACTTTAAGGAGACTTTAGCAGCTGTGAGGACTGTCATTTGTTTATAAATTTTTTTACATTTGTTCTTGGTGATACAAAAAGCACTCTTGGACCATTCGCGCAAAAACTGAAATGTCTTACCTGGATATTAGACCTTTAAAACATCCCACCTTAACAAGGTGACCTTATAATATTCTTTCAAGCTGTTTTCATAAACTGTAAACTATGTAACATTATGTATAGTTCAGTAATTTGAATGTTAGTTGAACGTATATTAGAAGGAATGCATTTTCTGTAGATGAATGAACCAAATGGTAACCATTACACAATTGCATTTACACATTGCAATACACTTCAGAAAGAGCATTCACTCTGCAGGGAATAAGGTACCTCCTTTAGCACCTTAGTGCAATCCATTGTGGTGCTATTCATTTTTTTATCTGAACTGTTAATTTTTTCATTGCAAGCTGTTTACTAATTTTATTTTCAAAGAATTTGCAAATATTTCCCCTTGTGGTGGTTTAAAAATCCTTGCTGTTCATGATATGGTTTGATTAGCATGCTTGGAAATTGATCTATGGAGGAATTGAATCACGTGTGGTGTTTTACTTTTGGTTGAGACTTGCCCTATATTTGCACACAGGAACATATTAAGACACAATCTCAAGACATTAGAAAAGTTAAGTGAAAAACATTTCTTGAAAACCTAGTATAATTGTAGGGCACATTGAATAGGACTCTCAGTGGAAAAATGTACACTTTTCTAATACTTGGGTTGTAATTTCAACTTCTTCCACTTGCCAGGAATTGGCTTCTTTAACTTACTCATTCCACTGTCCTAAATCTGAAGGGAATCTAGCTTTGTTTTGCTAGAAAGAATGTGTCTCGCTTGCTGTTAGTGCTAATTGCTTGTATGAGATTCAGCTTTAATTGCTGTGGTGCAAGTGTACAGAAATGTAAATTTTCAAAATTGTGTGCACCCTAGTTAAACTTCATTTTCTAGACACCAATACAGTAAATATTAAACTTGAATATCTAGAAGGAACTGTCAATGCATAGTAAAGGTAACCTATTAATTAGATGGATGATTAAATAAAAGCAGACTTGACAGCCACTGATTTTATTGGAAAATGGTTAAAGTAAAATTATTTCAAAGGGCTTTGGATTTTATATAGATGGAGTCAAAGAGGCTGCCACAGAGAAGTACTATATCCATTGTTTATGGATGAGTTGTATCCCTTGCCTCAATAGCAATGGACTGACAGTAGGAAATAAGGATGGTTGCTTCATTCCAATATGTAAAGTTAACAGTTGCCTATTTACATTGCAGATTCTGGTGACTGATATGCTAGAAAGAACTTGGCCATTTCTGAATGAAAAGAAAAAGCACTAGTGAATTGTAAAATAGTTGCAGTTATTCCCAAAGTACCTAGTATCTCAGATGTTGAACATTTAGAAATGACTTCTTCTAGGTAATGTCTCTCAGGTTTTACACTGACTGTGAATTGGTACCTACCTTGCATCCTCCCTTGGCACCAGCTAAAATCCATAGCAGTAAATGAGACTAGTAGACGGAATTAACTTGTTAGCTCTGCAGGTCAACGTTAAGCTTCAGTAGTAGGGCCTGTTGTAGGAACTTATAATGCCCCCAGTTATAAGTGTTCTAAGGATAAATAGTGAGAGGACTTTAGTATCCAGTGCTGCCAGTCCAGCATGAGTGACAAGCCCTAAACCTGTTCCTACAATATTTGTATTTTTTAATCTAATAAAGTACTTCGCTGTTGGCAATTTCAGTAAAGACAAATTGGGATGTTTGATACATCAATAGATGGTTTAATCTTCCTTATTACAAGCAAGGAACTAGTGCTTTGAATGAAAAAGAAATTAACCAACCCACCAGCCTATATAAGAAATGCTGCAACCATAAGAAATGCTAGAAGCGGCATGTCTTATATTAAAGGCAATATAACTGGATTGGAGGGGCGGGGAGTTTTATTTTTAATTAAACCTTGAGACAAAGGGTACAGTCCACCTGCGGTAAGTGAGTTCTGAAGAGAGGATTATAATTTCCTCTAATGAATTGTCAGATTTAACATGCAGTATATGGAAACACTCCTGGTGTCAGCAGTAGGCTTTGGGTCAAGCCTTACATTCATTAAAACCTCTTCTGAGGTAGAGTCATTTGATTGTAACTAGCTTATGTTTTAGAACAGTTTTAGATTCCACTATGGCCTCAGTCAAACTGAAAGAATTGGCACTCAATTCCTTGTCAGATCCTTTGGGGAGACTATAATCTGGCTCTACATTCCCACTGACGAATTTCAAAACACAACTAGATGAAATGTGTACCTTCTAGAGTGCTTCTTAAATAATATGCAGAAGGCTAAGTCTTAGCAAATGAGGATGTGTGTGTACAAAAGATCAGTGTTGAAGACCAACATCTGTTGTGTATAGCAGGAAGCTTGCATAGCTTTCTTTGTTTCCCTGTCACCCTCGTGCCATGTAATAAAGGATAAGTATCCCCTCTAGTGAGTGTGTACAACCACAGTATTTTTTACAGAATGCATAAGAGTCCTTACTTCAGCATAACAATGAACATGTCATTTAATTATTTAAAAAAAATGTACATATGCATATAAAGGGACTTGTAACAAGAAGATGCATTGAAATGTGAAAGGCAGCTGATTATTTAAAGTACTGATTGAATGTCTCTAGTCTGGCAACATCTGTGGGCCAGCATGACTTTAGTTTGGCAGATGTCCACTTTTCATGGGGTGTAGCTAAGTTTCCCATGGTCCCATAGTTTGTTTATACTCACCAGACTAGCTCTGTGCAGGTGAGCTCTAATTTACCCCTAAATATCTTAAGAGTCCAGGAAGCAGTGGAAGTGTTGGTAATACCGCTAGACAATACTAACCTCCGGTAGTTAAGAAAATTCTCTGATCTGGCAGTGGTTGAAGTTCCAAGGATGCCAGACTAGAGAAGTTAAACTTGTACAACATTTCTGGAAGTTACCTTATTTGTGTATCAACCATAGCTTAGTGCTGCTGTGGGAAATAAACCAAAAATGTTACTCTTCCACAATCATGCACATTCTAAAACACTCAAGATTTAGGGATGCATGTGATGAATAATGCTGTGTCATTGTCTGATGTCCAGTTTTTTTTAAAATTTCAAGATTTCTCACTTGGTAGAGATAAGGAATCTCAGGAGAGCAAAATTATTGAAGGAACAGCCTAAATGTTATGTACCTTTTAAAAAGTTAGCTGTTGGACCTGACTTTCTTATTAGTGATTTTAATATTGTAAATCAAGTATTTCAAACAGCCATTGATTCTCAAAAGCTGAAACAGGAAATATTTGCAAACAAAGTCCTATAATTGTTCCGTAACCAAACTCAGTTTTCCTGGTCTTCCAAAATAATTTGTGACTAAGGGAATGCATTATTTTCTTTCTAAGTAGCTGCTTTTCCAGTGACTGTAAACAGTTTAATAACTGCAGTTCTGGACATAAATATTTATCAGTTTTGTAACACAACCATTTGATATTTTGCTGAAAACCCAAGGTTAGTAGTATATTCAAAGCAACTGTTTTAAATATTTTTTATTTTTTTTAACTCATGCAAGGATAATTACATTTAAACAAATCTCCTGAAATGCTGCAGAGTAATTTTCTTTTATTTAGACAATTTTAATAATCATGGAAACTTAGGGTCACTTTTTTTTGCATTTTACTTTTTGTGTGGTCTGTGTTAACTCACCTTCACTAATAGTAATGTTTAGGTTGTATCATCTGTTAGAATAACAGAATAAAGACCAAAAGATTCTGTTTGATTCTGAAACTGAACATGTGAAAACTTTAACTCTGTACAGTACTTTACATATGTACATTGTGGGCACTTTGTACATGTTTGAGCAAAGATTGAGTTGAGGAAAGGCTGGAGTTCAACTCATTCTATAAAGGATGTTTTATTGGTCAATTTTTAAATAAAATATGAAGTTTTCAGTAACACTATTCCTTCCTATCTTACGTGGACACTATTGTTACTAAATCTTATTCAGAATAAAGCTGTCTTCTCAAATAAGGTTCTGATCCTAAGAACACATTTATTAATTTCAACACTTATGTCCCACTTGATGTCTGTTAACAGGATCAGCGGCTACTTAAAATTAATTCACGTCCAAGCCACTGACCTTAAGCAACGGTAGATTAATGGAAAGTGAAGTCTAGCAGGTAGCCTGTAAAACCATTGCCTAACTAACAAAACTCATCATTTTGGGTATCTATTTCATTTTTTTTAAGAGGCTAGACAGACATATGCAGTCACTTCCAGTCATTTTTAGTGAACAAATAATTTAAAACGGATCAGCAAAAGAGGGAGGAGGGAGAAGAACATAGACTCTGATGTCCATCCTTTTTTGATATTTTTGCCTTAAACAAAATGGAGCTTATCAATGGGTCTCTCTAAAACCCACATTAAAATTTTGAGTTTCTTCCTAGAATGTGGAGTGGAATGATGACAGTGCCTGAGGAAAACTATGTTTAGTAACAGTGCTTAAAACTTTACAGATATTTGAAGCTGACAACATTTTGGAGACAGGATGGCTAAATCCTTTAATATCTTAAAAGGAGTAAAGATGTAACCTCACATACTGAGCAGGCAATTTACAAGTCTTTGCACATCAAAAGCAGGACCCAAGACTACCCTTTACCAGTCAAATACTACAATAAAATGCTGGAATGTTAGTTAAGACATTTAATAAAATTGTGAAAAGAGCAACAATAAAGTCCTGAAATTCTTCAAGTTGGACCTTCATCTGATTTTACTAGTTACTACAAGGTTAGTAAATAGCCAACAGGCAAGAGAGCTATCTGTAATATTCATTTTTAATAACTGGTGATCCATCTACAATGTTTCACCACAACACAAACTGATTCTTAGGGGGGCAGAACAAGTTGAGGCTAGATCTTATCTTCCTGAGAATGTGGGAACTGTCAGTTGCACGTCAGTTCCTGTTTGTAAAAAATATTTAATTCAGAATTGAGCTGTGTAGGAACTCTTGCAAATGTTTGGTTTTGTTCTGAATCTGAATGGAAACAATCCCCCACAACACCAAGTGTTTCGTTTGAAGAGTTTGAAACAGACTTTTTTCCCCACCAAAACAAAACTGCTAAAATCAGGATGTTCTAAGTTTTATTTTCTGGGAAATGTCATTTTCTGACATTCCAGTGGAAAATTCAATCCATGCTAGTCAGAATTCTCAGGCATGCAGAGAACAGCTTGACTTAATAAAGGTTGTTACTAGTGCAGGTTTTATATTACTTAATATAAACAAATTATATATACACATGGATGTAAAAAAAAAATCAATATTTTTACACCATTTTCTTAAGCTGATGTGCAGTATCTTAACTACAAGGAGCAGCTACTGAAATACAATCCCCATGCTATCCTGATAAGGATTGCGAAGGTGTTACACTTTAATTGGAATGTTTTGCGGAACTATCAAGAGGAATCAGTGTACACATTTACTACTATATTTCCTTTTGCTCAGAAGGCTGTTCTTTACTCAATGCAATGGCACTATAGGGAGGATGCATCTCTTCTTCAGTTCCTATTTGTGGACAGGAATAGAAAGGATTTTTTGGGGTGGGTAAGAAGCAGGGAAGACATTACTTTGTTGATTTAAAAAGTACTTGGTTTTTGTCCATATGAGTGCTCTACCATAGGATAGATGCACACCTATGCACTAACTTAGGCTACGTCTAGACTACATGCCTCTGGCAACAGAGGCATGTAGATGAGGCTACCAGACATAGGAAAATGAAGCGGTGATTTAAATAATCACCGCTTCATTTAAATTTACATGGCTGCCGCGCTGAGCCGATCAGCTGTTTGTCGGACGGCTTGTAATGTTTGATTTTGGGAAATACTCAATCTTAATCCTAGTTTAATATACATTTCATCTGGAAACAGCTGTATATAAATTTTGTTGTATTATTCTATACAACAATGTACTACCACTGTTCAATATTAAAAAGTCATTACACAAAGGAACAGAGGGAACAGCTAAATGAACTCTTGGACCATACAGATTAGAGGGGGGAAATATTTCTTAAATCCAACAGCATAAGGAAGCAGATCACTGAAATCCAGTAGTGCAGGTCATTAACTAAACATTGAGGGGCAAAGTTCAAATATTATTGACATAACAATGACTAGCTTCCAAAAATGTGTGAAAATTTGGCAAAGACTGATTCTGTAACACCCGCGCATCCAGACTACCGCGCTGAGCCGACAAACAGCTGATCGGCTCAGCGCGGCAGCCATGTAAACTTAAATGAAGCGGTGATTATTTAAATCACCGCTTCATTTTCCTATGTCTGGTAGCCTCATCTACATGCCTCTGTTGCCAGAGGCATGTAGTCTAGATGTAGCCTAAGTGAGTGCATAGGTGTGCATCTATTCCTACTTCTTTGAAGTAGGAATAAGACCCTCTGGAAAAGGGCACTTTTTCCGGAGGATCAGGGCCACTGTAGACGCTCTTTTCCGGCTTTTCTAAAAGCCGGAAAAAAGCGGCGGACATTTTTATTTAAATGCCGCGGGGGATATTTAAATCCCCCGCGGATTTCCCTACGACGACTGGTGAAATTTACATGCCCCTTCCGGAAAAGGGGCCAGTGTAGACGTAGCCACCAGGTTTGAGTTTAGGGATGTGAAAGTGAAACCATTTATATGGTTAACCAATGGGCTCATTGGTTCACATGCAGTTACACCAGTTTCCCCCTCTTCCCTAGCTGGCTCAAAAGCCAGTTGCTCCCAGCACCGTTTTTTCTGTGCCACCTGTCTATCGGGGAGCCGAGGTGTGAGGGAGGGATAGGGGAGGCTGCTGTGAAGCAGCCTCTTTCTGCAGCAGGCCAAGGCATGCCATGGGCAAAGGCTGCTCTGGCAGCAGCCTCTGTACACAAGGGCCCCAGCAAGGAGCAGGGCTCCAACAGAGAAGGGCTGCTGGACTCAGTGCAAGCCAGGACCAAGCTGTCCTGGTTCTCACTGGACCAGGACACTGACACTCTGTATTTTAAATGCAGCAAGAGCCCAGAGGCACTCACTACATTGAAAATGCAGAGCTGTAGCGCAGGTGGTTTCCGGAGCCAGCATGAGTCAGGACTGCTCAGTCCCAGGCTCAAGCCAGCACCTGGAACTACCCCTGCTGCAGCTCTGCAGCGTGGTCCTTAACTAACCATGTAGTCAATAGAGTTTGTATCATCAACTACACAATTACTCAGATAACTGCAATTTAGCATCCATAACCAAGATACCAAACTGTTTCTGAGGGAGGTATAAATGTAGCTGTAGAAAGCAGTAGTCCTATATTTGCAGGAATAGATCACTTCCCTCTAAAAGTAGAAAGGTTTCAAAGCTAGTTGCAGGATAGATTGTAACGAACTAGATTGCACTTACATTCAGACTTATCAAACCATTTTTTGTTGCAGAAATGCAGATTCACAGTGACTAAAGGTAGCTCTCAAATCCTTCACAGTATGTAGTGTGGAGTTCCTATTAGAGTTGAAGAGCTGATTCCTTTAAAGGAGCCAGAAATTCAACCATAATCTGCACTTCTCTTGGGAGACCTGAAGACAGAAGCCATTCATAGTACTATGGCTTTGGCTAGGGATCTAGAACCTCTCTCTGACCTGTATGGAAGCTTGGAGGTAGTTTCTAGCTGTCAATAGACTCTCTGAACTAGTGAGCCCCAGTTGTTCCATCTGGTCTTAGGGCAGATGTTTAATAAAATGAGTGAACTGGTAATGTGTGTTGAAGTTATTTTGACAACAGGGCTTGGTAGTTTACCACACAAAATAGGAGAGCTGCTGACATGTAGCTTTTGCTATGCTACAAGATTTAACTTTTAGACTCTATTATCATAAGGAGAGGGTGTGGAATAGGCCTACCTCTACCCTTCATTAGCCACATGTACCAACCAGGAAATGGAAAAGAGGTGAGAAATGTTCCTTTTTCTTCCGTGGAATATTACTTTTTATTTGCCTGCTGACAGGTGAGCTGGATAGTGGCAGTTATTTACTAGACTATGAGCAGGTAATAAGAGCCTTACTTATTAGTTCATTTTTTTCCTGAAGGGTAATAATTTATTTCCACCAAGGAGTGTTGAGTCCTAGACTTCATCTAATGAGATCTGGAAGGATTCTGCCAGAGGTTTCATGAGGTCTTTGAAAGCCTTTAAATCATGGTGCAAGGTTGGGGAGAGGGGGCATTACTGAATGAAAAGGACTTAGCTGATGGAATGAGTTTCCCCTCCAAGAGGTAGGGACTGCTTCTGGAACTGAGGTACATAAAGCACTAGAGTACCAAATGCCAATGTTTAGCTGTGGCGGCCTACAAATGATGTGGTGGTATTAGCAAGTACTGGGATTTCTTTCTGGGTGGAACCATACTTTTTTCCCTGAAATGATCATAAGCTCTGGGTCCAGGATGTCTGGTAGGGTCCAAAAGAACACCTTCAGAATACTGGCTGAGTGGGATGCAGTGGCAAGATAAAGAAAAAGGCCCTCTATTGAGGCCTTCAGATTTTTAAATCTGAACCTCTGGGCTGAAGGAAATAGCATCAGCCATGGGTGCTACACAATACCAGGGAAGGGTTTCTGGTAAAGGACAATAGCCACAAGAGACGAATGCCTCTGGTTTAAAAAGGTTGTTGGAAAGAAATCTGGAGGGTGCTGGAGAGCTATGTTGTGCAGTAGACTGAGTTGATACTGGGCCTAACATTGCCAAGATAGTAAGCGTATACTGAGAAAACTTGCAGATAAAGACTTCTCTGATCCTGAAGACCTGGTAAGTGAGATAATAGGCTACCAACTGTGTGCACAGGGGGCCTGTGCATGATCTTACCTTAGTGCTTGGAAAGGTCAGTTGGTAATAAGGAAGATACTTCTATTAAGACTTTTCCACATGCTGTTTCTTGTGCTGTACCTAGTGGCTTGGTACCAGGTTCAGATGGAGTCTTACATGCATCCTTTGAGGGATGTGAGGGGTTAGAGTGGAAGGAGAAAAATGCTTCTTTGAAGTCCTAGCCTCTGAAGCTGGTGCTGCCACCAGTACAGTCCAGAAATGTAAGGTTGATGTCCACAGAGGGAAAATGGACCCCCCACACACACATACACCAAGGCTAATGAGTGCTCAATTAAAAGGAGCTTCAGTCTAGCCTCTGTCTCTCTCAAACCTGCCTTTAGATTCTATGCAGAGATTACACACTGATAGGATATAGGTGACTCTGAACTACGGAAAATGGCTTGAATTCCCAGCACCGCAATTAAAAAAACCTGTGGCAGGTCTGTTAACAGCTTGAACCCAGGATGTTTGGCATAAAAAAAAAAATCAGACTGGTAGTGGAGTGAAGGGGAGGCAATAACCCCCTTTAAACACAGCCATGTAACACTAAAGAAATAAGGAAAAAATAATGAATGGAATACAAAGAAAGGGAGGAAGCTGTGAATCAACAGACAAGCAGTTGCTTCATTTCAAGCTGCAGATAGTAAAGAAAGAACTGAGTGGCACTGAAGGCAAGGTGGTATGGATCCATATGGAGACCCAAGAAGCTGCTCTGAACAGGACTAAGGAAATTATGGAGGCCTGTAATGCCTACAATAGAACCTCCATATGGACATATAGCTGAAGAATGTACATTTCCACACCAACATAAGCACAGTAATTGACTGATTTTGCTAAAATAAGGAATGTTAGCATTTCTCCATCTTCAAAGCTGACACCCCATCAAAAGGAGTGGTTGCATTTTACATGTGGCAGAGCTACCACTACAGGCTCAGGGAGCTAAAATAATCATTTAGTATTGGTCCTTTGCACAACCATAAGAGACAATATTCTAAAAATGACAACTTAAGATTCTGCAGCAAATGCCAAGACCTTGGAAAAAAACCAGAGCCATACACAATGAACACTAAACTGATTTCATTTTAGTAGTTAATTAAATCTGTTTTTGTTTTCTATATGAAACTGCTGCAAAAATCAGCAGTAGCCATCAACTGTAGACTTAGTGTATCTCAGAATGCAGAGAGCTCATTAAAAGGTTACTAGGCCACATCTCATTTATATTTGTTCTCCAGTTGCTGAAGCAAATACCACCCCACTTCACACATTAAGGTCTGATCTAAATTAACCTCAGTGTAATCAGCATTTATTAAATGATCCCAAAGTTGTCTGCTGGTGGAAAAAAAATGAATTTAATACATGCTGACTTCTGAACTAGGACATCTGCATTCAATTTTGTAATAGGTAGAAGCATTAAGCAATTAATTCATTCTACTGGTGAAATAATGTGACTTAGTAAATGGTAGTTTATAAACTTTTTTAGTTACTTCCAATGTGTCTTCAGGCACCTTTAGTTATATTCATACTATATATTTACACAACCAATTCCAACACACAATGCTCCTATTTCTGAAGATAATGTAAACTTGTGTAGTATTTTTCGAGTCTGAACCACTACACTTCTTGATTATCTGAAGACGGGATACTCTTCATTATTCAATGCTTATGCAACAGTGTGTTAATAATCTACCAATTTTTAATAAAAGCCATGGAGCAGTTTTCTTTTGTTCTGTACTTGATAGCAAAATAAATGCAATTCAAATATGAAGGAAATGTAATTTCATTACAATATGCATATTTTTCTCCTTGTTTGCTAGTATTACCATCTTGTTTCACTCAACTAGAAAGAAAAGGCTAGGAGAACTGTTTGTATTGACATATACCTCTCTGTATTGACAAAATACTGAACAGTTTTTTAAAAAGTTACATTTCTACAAATTCTAAAAATGACACTGTATAGCTAAATGGCAAGTTTCATTTTAAAATGCCTGTGGAAAAATGACAATTAAAAAACCATTTTGGTTAAATGTTTCAGACTCAAAAATTATAAGTGTCTGTGCTAGTTTTAGTTTTACTCCAATACCTACTCATTTAAACCAGTGAACTGTTCTGTCATTTCAGGACCTTCTTTAACAGGTTAACTTTTAGAGTTGTACAGCTGATGCACACCCTTGCATTTCATTATCCTGTTCCTGCTATTCTTCCATCACCATTCTAGAGAAGATAAAAGGTTAAAGTGTTTATATTTTCATGAAAATACACACGTACAGATATATTTTTCTCATTATGTATCCTATAACACTTTAGATTCCCATTCAGGTCTACTACTGTTATCCTCAGTTAAGGTAATATAAAATACATACTGTACTAAGGGAAAAAAGGTTTAACTCAAGAGCTAAAAGACAAGCTAGCTTAACAGTTTTCCTCACCACATTTACTAGATTGATTTGAATTTAAATTGTGATCCTGTAACAAGAGGGGAGATGAGGGGAGGAAAGTCAATTCTAAATGAATGAGGTAATGTGATACATTCAACAGCATAAATAAATACAAGTTCAGTTTTACAGGAACATGATCATAAGTTTAAGGGTTTTATTATCAAAGTCTTGTAAAACAATTTCAGAAACTGTACATCAACATGGCACAGACTGTAGCCCACTTTTGTTTTTACCTGCACAAAAGTAAAAGCTCTGAAACGTCTTTAACTAAGAAAACAGCTCGTCTAACTACTTGCATATAACATGGAATCACTGTGTGCATAAGATTACTATTGCAGTGACAGTAAACACAAATTCATTAGTTTATACAACTTGAGATCAAGTAAAAAGTACATTATCAAGTAGACTTGCTTTTAAAAGCATACAAAGATCAATTTTAAAATGCACTACCTCTTTTTGCAACATGTTTAGCTAATGAACAAATATAAAACCAAAAATCAGAAAAAAGGATGATGAAAACTGCAAAAAGCAATGTCTAATCATTGGTCACTGGGTAAATTAGGAGACTCTGCATTATCACATCAGAAAATTTCATCCTCTCAAACCTATGAGAAGAAGTTAGGAATCAAACTATGCCACCCTACACTGCCTGAGATGGATTTTAAATTGACTGAGTAAAAAACCATCAAAATTAGCCATCAAAAAAGGTTAGTGCATTTTAACTTTGTCAAAATGAAACAACCCACCCGTTCCCCACCCCCCAGCCACATGGCTAAAAAGATTATCTACTTATATCAGAATGCTTATTTCCAGATGTAACTATGAATGTTAATTTAGTGTAGCCACACTTAAGACCCTTAAAAAGATCCATCAATATTGTAGAATTTTCTTAGAACATTTAAGATGTTTCTGCCACAATTAACATGCAATCAGTGCATTCCCTATACTGCTCTATTACTGCAATGAATCAAACTCTAGAAACACTATCATAAGTGAGCCAATTTGCTAAAGGAGATCATACAACATAAACAATCCATGCCTGCTGTAGATGCATGCAGCTTTTCACTTTTGCTTGAAGCAGCACCAAGTTAGGAAGACCTACTTGGCTACTCAAATTAATTTGGCCATAGCAAGAATGGCAACCAAATTGCCTCTTACTATAAAGCTTTTGATGTAAATTAAAATCAGCTTTACAACCATTTATAGCTTAGAGCTGTATACATCTAGGATTAACAAGTACAGCATAAAAGAATCACACAGGAATGACACTGATGCATGTCTGCAGCTGAATTCACTGCAAAGGCAATATTCAGTCACTCATATCCATATCTTCTTCATGATGATCATCCCCGTTTACTTTGGATTCTCTTGCTGAATCTCCACTTCCCTTATCCACTGGTGCTTCCTTTATTTTGGGGGAAGCAGAATCTGCTGCTTTCTTTTCTTCCTTTTTCTCCTTCTCGCTGTCATAGCCTTGTTCTTCTTCATCATAATCCCTTGTGACCTGCTTTGCCGAGATGAAAAAGTAAAAGTAAAACTTGCCTCAAGGTCTTAAGGGTTTAAGGTTAATACTACACCAAAGGCAGTGAAACAAAGTAAGTTTTTAAACATACTTTTACATCTTTGTCACTCTCAGATTTTCTTTCCCGATCCTTCTCTTTGTCTTTGCTTTTTTTCTTCTTGCTTGTTGACCGTTCTCTCTCATCTCTGCTTCTCTCTTTGTCTTTATCCTTCTTCTTTTCCTTTTTGTGTCTAGGATAACAATAAACTACTCAATTTTTGCACATTGTAAAAATTCAAGTTAAGACTTTATTGTAATACCCTCTTTTGTAGAACCGGCCCCTCATGCTAAAATCCTAGCTTAAACCCTAAGTCACCACCAAACGTCAGTTCAGCCAATGTTAATTATTGCTCTTGAATACAATCATATCCAGCCAACTCCCTAACGCAGCTCAAAGAAAGCAAGAGGGGGAGCAGAAAAGACTGGAGAATTTTCTAATGCAAGGCAGGACATGAAGTTTATTTTCAGAATGCACTAATAAATGTGTAGGAAGGCGTGTTGCCAGAACATCAATCATCAAAAATAGGACTTCCACTTCATGTAAAATTTACAGAAGAGTTCAATAAATTCCTTGATTGAAAAGGATAAAACTATACCCTCCACCATAGCTAAAGCATTCTAGGCACCAGTGCTGATTTCTCCACAGATATCCCTTTGAAAATTAGAGCTATGGAGTAACTGAACTCAGAGACCTGCCAGCACACTGACCTTCTTGGAGATGGAGACCGAGACAATTTTCTTTTGGGGGACCTGGGCTTTTTAGGTGACCGTGTTGCACTCCTGCTTCTTCTGCGCCGTCGTTCTCTGTAAGCATTAAAACGTAAAACAGTCCCAAAAAAATCACAAAGCAGAAGTGTTTAAACTATAAAAATATATATTCGAGTTAATATAAATTCTACTGGCACATATCTATGTTCTAAAGGACCACTGCTCTACCCTAGGGGGAATTTTGTGCCACTGTGGAATGCAGAATCCCATTTCCCCTGCAGAATTTCTGACCACTACTATGGACCACTGGACTCTACAGAGTCCAGCTTTTAACAAATGGAGCACACAGCCTGGCAGGTTGCACGCTCTTTGAGCCTCATTCTTCTAGGTGTAGTTAGGAGGATTTACGGCCATGGTGTTCAGACAGATTTTTGGCTTTGTTGATGATAACCAAAAGGCTGCTTGTGTGAGTGCTTAATGATGTAGACCCAATGACCACCCCACAGACTCAAGAGGATCCCCAAAGACCACAAATCAGATAAAGATCAAAGGTGCCTGGCCAGGTTTATTGCTAAGCAAAGTACAGTAATAATTGTCAGTAGACTTTACCAAATCACTAAGCACGTGTACTTACAACAATGGCCTTAGCAAAAACAGCGAGAAACTTTCACTGTTCCCTGGCTGACCAAAGACTGTTTCCCCAAAACATTACTTTAGCAGTGATGTGTAAAACTTGTACCTGTATATAATGTGTTAGGTTGCCACTTCTGACATTGTCAGGTTACTACCTTCTGATGATTTTTAAACACCACCCATAACCCTGTACCTCGTGGTTCAATTAAATTATTTTTATTCATTATGCTATCATTTTAGACCCTTTCCTAAACCTGGGTCTGCATTTGTGGAAAGTGTAGGGATGGAAGCCACTAGTTGACTATCTGATAAACAAAAGCTTACTGGATAGCTGACACACTAGTCGCTTCCCCCGCCCTCCTTGATGCATCTATTAGAAAGAGGCAGCAAGGGGGGAGGGAGGAAGAGATGGAGATGCTGGGGGGGAAAGGGGGAAGCTAGCTTAAAAGCTGGTTCCCCACCAGCTCCAGCTCCGTGGGAAGAGGCAGGGGTGGACTCTTGTATATTTCAAAACAGAAGCAATGCATGGAACCCAGGGCCAGTGGGAGACTCAGAGTCCTCCTGGTCCCAGGCTCCATGCATCATTTCAATCTTTGAAATTTCAATCTTCGTACATTTCAAAGGCAGAACGCTGCATGGCACTTCTGCCTTTGAAATGTATCAACAGCCTGGCAGGCTCTTGCTATATTTCAAAGCAGAAGCGTCCTTATCAACTAATCAAATAGTCAATGGAAATTCCATCGATGAGGAAAGTGGGTACCAAGGTTTTAATAAACTGATGATATCACGTGCTCTTCACTTATAACCAGTACCATTTACTGTTTAACACCTGGGCCTATTACCAATTAGTGTTTTGCACACTCAGCCCTGATCATGCCAAGTTCTGTCAGCAGGGGCCTGCCTCTCGCTCAAAGCTTGGCTAACGTAAAGCTAGATTTTGTTTATTGTTAGCTAGGATTCAGGCCTCAAACCAGACCTGTGCTACATGGGCTTACGTTTATTAGGCCTTCATCTTAGTACACTAGGGATGGGAGAGGGTCTGGGAAAATATGAGGAAAGGCAGAGCTGCAGCACATCATGTCCCTTTGTAGGGCAATAAAGACATGGGGGCGGGGGTGGGGGAGGGTTGTGACGTAGTGGGGGTGCTGTCCACTTGCTGGTTGCTATGCTTGGGCTGTGGGTGACCTCTACTGGCCTGCGTCTGTAAGCACTGCCCAGCAGGGGGTCGCCCTGAGGACCCTCATGTCACATAGTCCATGGCCCAAACGGTTCTTACCTGTCCAGGGAAGGGGTCTGAACAAAGGAAGGGTGTGGCTTGGAGAAGGGGCAGTCTTGGCTGGGAAAACATGAAGAGAACAGACTAAGCGGAGTGCTGTGGGTTCAGGGGCCTGTGCACCCCTACCCCAAGGGGTCTAAGGCTGCCAGCCCGACTCCTATGTCCACATCACGCCTATGCTGTGCTGTACCCTGGAGAAGCAATAAACCCTCTCTATTCTACTGGCTGGCGGAGTCTCATCTTGCTGTAGATGGGGTGCAGGATCGGGGGGTACCTGATGCACCGCCACAGGGGGAGTAAAGGCTGTGGGAGTACTGGTGTCTGTCCTATTGCTGAGCTCTGTGGGGAGGAGCAAGCTGATGTCTGCCTTATGACTGAGACCTGAGGGATGCTGGAGTCTAGGCCAAGGGGTGTCCAGCAACTAAGCTTTGTGGGGAGGAAGATGCTAGTATCTGAAGGTTGTCCCATGGCTGGGCTCTGGGGACAAGTCTGGATTCTGAGGGAGTCAGCACCTCTGAAGTGGATTGTTGTGGGATTTTCTTGAACTCTCTACTCCTGGGGAAAATCTCCTCCCCCGCTTTTGTATTGCTAATATACTTGTGAAAGGGTATTTTGAAATAAGTTACCAAAATTGAAACTGAAGTCATTATATTGTGTTATTTTGACATATAAAGTGTTTGGGATTCTATAGAATTGTTTCTGGCACAGAACTCCTCCAGGAGTAATTTGCCATTAGCACCATTACAAAGCCAACACAGCTGTTGATAAGCAGTGCAAGCTGCCTTTACCTTCACTATCTACTATATATTTTAGAAACTGTCTGTCCATCTGTGAGTTCATTTGTTCAAGAATTCCTCCTAAACCAGGGGTGGGGAACCTAAGTAAGGCCCAGGGGCCACATCCAACCCCTGGCTTGCCTAAATCCAGCCCCTGAGGCTCAGAGCTCCCTCCCCAAGCACTGGGGAACCCATACTTGTGCTCCAACCCCCCCCCCTCCAACTGCTGCCCCACTGTGGGGTTGGAACACACAAAAAAAATCTACTAGCCTGGGTCCCCCTAGGCTCTAGTGTGCAAGGGGAATGTGGAAAGTTTAATTCTCCTCAGTCGGGGGCCACGTTGGTGAGGGTTTTGGTTTTTTTGCTTCTCACTTGTGTGCAGCCCCCAACTGATTTTTCTGTGGATCAGTGGCCCCAACCCAAAAAAGGTTCCCTACCTCTTATTTAAACCATGGTAAAGGTTTGGTTGTGTCAAGATAAGGGGATGTGTGTGGAATTCGATTGTTCCTCTTAAAAGGGAAAGGGAGGGAGTCTGGTAGGAGGGACAGTTATACTGTAGAATGACCACAGAGGGGCAGCAATGGGCCAGAGATGGGACTAGGACAGCCATAACCTCACTGTGGACATAGGGGAAAGAGGTGGAAAAAGGAACAGCTATCTACAACATATTTCAGAGTTTGTCTGTTTGCGTGTCTGTCCGCCAGCCAGAGGACCTGCACCCCTTCTCTCGGCTGTGCCCATTGCAGCTGCACCAGCCACGGTCAGGCGCTTCTCACCTGGCCCAATCTGCTATGGTGACAGAAGGCTGCGGTTGTCCTCTCTCCCCAGCCTTCATACTGAACCCGTCATCTCCAGCCCCACCCCAGAATAATTTAAATAAAAAACCCCAAAACTTATTTGAATTAAGGACCCAAGCAACATCAGGTAAATCTAGCTGTGAAATAAATGGCCATCTAAATTCCCATTAAACATCCAATGTAGATGGTGTAGCAGTCAGACAAAAGAGTTAAGATTTTCAGCTATCATACAGAGTTTGTGATTTAATAGGAAAATTATTTTGTTTCATAAACAACATACATTTTAACAAGGAGCAAAAATAAAACAAAATCTATTTTCGCAGACAAACTAATACCTTCTTAACACTTAAACTTATTTGAGGCTCTTCATTGCACTCTAAGTCTAGGGACATATCTTTCTGTCTCTCACATACATTAATGAAGAAGGTGCTTCATTTGAAAGTACAGGCAGTCCCCGGATTACGTACAAGATAGGGACTGTAGGTTTGTTCTTAAGTTGAATTTGTATGTAAGTCGGAACTGGTACATATTGTAGGGGAAACTCTAGCCCAGGCATGTCCAAAGTCCGGCCCGCGGGCCAAATGCGGCCCGCGGTCGGATTTAATACGGCCCCCCGCTTCTCCCGGCTCCCCGGTGCTTTTTTTAACTGGCGCGCTCAGCGCGCCGCTTCGGGCCGCTGCCGCCGTGGTCCCAAACCCTGCCCCTGCACTCCGCTTTGGGGCTGAGAGTGCAGGGACAGCCCCCGCTTCCTCCCCCTCTCCTGGCTCCCCGGCACTCCTCTGACTGGCGCCGCTTCCGGCCGTGCCGCCGCCGTCCATGGCGGCCGCTGCGGTCCTAAAGTCCACCATGTAGGGCACGTCCGCAGCCCCGCTCCCCCGCTTGGCTACAGGTTCGCCCTGCCCCCGGGCCGCCGTGAGGCCAGCGTGCCCTGCGCTCTCCGCCCGCCTCTGACCCTGCAAGCCCTCTACCTTGGGGCTGAGAGTGCAGGGACGGACTCCGCAGCTGCTGAGATCAGGGACTGCCTTTGAACCAGACCTAGCCTATGTACTGCAGTCCAGATCTCAGTTTCACCCTTCACATTAGTGTAGGCAAGTTTTTTTTTCAATTGAGATGAATACATTGTAAAATCTCAGTTAATGTCAGTTGGTCTAAATCAGTTATAAATATATTTGGACACAACATGTATAGTTGGTGTTATGTCGTTTGCCGTTTGCAATAAACTTTGCATAAAATAGTTAATTTGCATTTAATTTTAATGGTTCAAAGAATGTCAGGCAAAATGGTCGGCCCTCACGCATGTTCACTTCATCAAATCTGGCCCTCTTTGAAAAAAGTTTGGACACCCCTGCTCTAGCCAAACATTTCTCCAGAGCTCAGTTTTATTCTCCCACACCTCACTTCCCTCAGTCCTTTATTCTCAAGCTGAGGTGTCTGCTGAGAAAAGCTGCTCCGCGTCTCCCTGGTCTGCTGGGGGGAAGCAGCTAGTGCGGGGTTGCCTCACCCCGTTTGTAAGTAGGGATCCAATGTAAGTCGGATCCATGTAACCCGGGGACTGCCTGTACATTTTCTCCTCTTATTCCTATATGTATGGAATATACTGTGCAGGTACAGTCCTGTAATTTTTAAGCTGTCACAGTAAAGCCTCTGAGATGTGACCTTTTCAAGAGCAGAAAAGAACCAAGAGTTGCATCATGCTAATTTAAGTCTGGTATTTTCTCGTATGTATGAGATTTATAGTAAACAAGACAAACCAAAACCAACCTTCTCCCCCCCACCCAAAAAAAACACCAACAAAAAAACCTAAACTAAAATATCCCCAGATTTGCCTAGATCAGTAAGGCTTTGCACAGAACTGTAGGTACTTTAATAAATGATCTGAGGTGGTATATTTGAAATAGCTTCTGTAACCCTCTATGACCCTAGCTGAACTGCTATTTCAGAACTTGCAGCAAGACTCTGCAGCCAATCATGACTGATTCCTTCAGAAGTGAAAGAGAATCACAATCATGTGACAAACTAGGTTGGAAACTTTTACACCAATACTATTATATTCTACCCCTGGAAACACAACCTAAAAGTGACCCAAGTTCTGGTACCTGCTTGCGCTTCTTGATCGTCTGGCTGTGCTGTAGCTCTTTGGTGGAGTTTTAGAACGTTTCTTTTCTTTTTCTTCCTTCTTTTTATCCCTTGAAGGTAACAAAATGTTACATATTCAAAAATCAGTCAGTTTTCAGAAACAAATATTTGCATGACACAATAGGAAATAATGCCAGATAATTACAACTTTCAGACTTTTTTTTTTTTTAAGAACAAATGGATTATCTTTCTCCACTGTGAAATTCATTGAAAAAGAGAAAACAAAGAGGGACAATTACTGAAACAGCAAAACAGTTACTGTAAATTGCTCCTTAGATATCTAAGATGACATTTCTAAGCTTAAACGCTACAAGTTACAACTGATTTTTAAATGAAATATGCATCCTCAGCTTTCACTGAAATTAACAGAAGCTGCATGTTTTCAGCATCAATGAAAACGAGGCCACATTTAAGTACCTAAGTACAAATGATGAGATGTCCTAACTTTAGGCATTACAATAGAACACACAAACCCATTCTACTTCCTCAAATACCCGCAAAATTAAATTGCACAAAAACGCTATTTGTTTAAAGCTTGTCAGTGCTGCCCATCAGTATCAATCACTGTTAAATTCTGCGATTTGTGGCACAGTCATAAAAACTGCTTGGTAGTATTTGATGACTTCGTTATTTTCTTTAATAGAAGTTACATTACGTATATTTCAGAATTATCAGGATTTCTAGCAAATTATAGAAGTCGCAAGACAGAATTACTTGGTTTTGGATGTGCTCCGAGACCTTCTGACTCTCTCTCTGGAATGAGATCTCCTCCTTCTCGGACTTTTAGATCGCCTCCTGCTTCTTGACTTTGAATGTGACCGCCTCCTTGACCTGCTTCTTGACCGTCTATCAAACAATACATTATCCACAAGATTACAAACATATATTTGATCTAGACATACTAGACTATTAGTTAAATGTTGCCAATGTACACAGAAAAAATTAACAAGCTAAAAATTAAGGTCATGTCCAGAGAAGCCATAGCAGAAAAAGAAGTGTCACAAAGTACAGATAATGAACGTGTGCATGATAGAAACTGTGTCAGCTATTCACCATTATCTACTTCAGTTTGTGAATAAACACTTATGGCGGCAAAAGTAGGGCAGCAAGGAAATTTTGGAGGAATTATTTGAAATGGAGAAAGTGAAGGCACATAGGCTATGTCTACACTGCAGGGTTTTTGCTCAAGAAGTCTTTCGTGGAAGAGTTCTTGTGTAAAAACTTGCGCAAAAGTGCATCCACACCTCAAAGCGCATCACTTTTCACAGAATGGCCATCAGAACACTTGTGCTTTTTAGGATAGGCTCTTTTTGCACGAGAAACCCCTGCGGAGCATCCACACATGCCTTTTTACGCAAGAGCTGTAGCGCAAAAAGGAGTTATGCCCGTAGGAGGAGGTATACCTGCACTGCAAAAAGCCCTCTGTTCTGTCGACTGACTGTAGATTTTCTTGCGCAAAAACACGATTGAGGTGTGGCCGCTCTGCAGGTTTTTGCGCAAAAACCTTGTAGTGTAGATGTAGCTATATTGATCAGCTGAAGGAGCAGCATAGAGGAAAAGTATGGATAAAGCATGCTGGCAGGCAGATCAGAGATGGAAGCAGGAGTGGAACAATGCTGATCTGAAGGTGGGAACAAGCTGAAACTTGATACAGATTTAAGAGACCCAGTGGAGTAGTATGAAGACAGGACATAATTAGCGAGACCTAGCTGAACAGACTACTGAGGTACAAGGGTAAGAACTGAGAGGCTAGAGACAAAGTGCCAGGATAATTCATTGGGACACCTGGTTTTACAATGAATCCACCAAAACATTTAAACAAATTGTTTAAGCTACTAGTATATGGAGTAATTGCTGCTGGTAAACAAAGCAGATGATAGCCTAGTGAAAAATTCATTTGGTATCGGAGACAGTGTTTCTGGAGTGAAGACAGAAGTCAATTTAGTGCATTTTTTTTTATTAAACTAAAAGTGACTGTTTCTGAAAAAAAACATCCATTTTGAAATATGCATATTGTTGAATCAGCTGGCAGTAGTGGCACCAGCAGAAACAGCTTTTGTGAAAGTGAGTGTGAATATTTCATAACCCAAAATTATGTTGCAACCAAAGTTTCCATGTGTTGATTTTGAAAACACTATTAACCTTAAAGAGAATGCAGCAGAAATTCAGACATGTGATTACCAGAGCATGAATTATAGAACAAAGGATGAAAAATGAAAGGACAGTTTTTAAAAAGTACAAATAGATATTACATTGCAATATAGAGGGTGCAATGGTAGAATGAATAAAACCACCAAGAGTGGCCAAGCGATAGAATAGGTTATTTGTTGATAGTGATGAACAGGGGAAAGGGTTTTGGATTGTGGAAGATTCATGCATTAAGTTTTTAAATTGAATTCATGGGAGTCCCAAGAAGTTATTTTACCTCTTAAGGACAGAAAATGAGTTCTGCCTTCTGGTGGCCACTGTATTGGAGCTCTGGTCCACAAATTAGTTGTCCCTTCAGTCTTATTGCACTCAGGGTTGGGTACTGAGGCCCCAAACGATTCCAAAACAAAGAGAAAACCCAACCTAATACTATGCCATCCTCCAGTCTTCTGGGGGGCACCCTGCCCTTCCCTTGAGGCCTAGCTTCCAAACAATCTCTTACTGGTGCATTTCCTGGTTTTGGGGTTAAATGCTCTCCCTGTGGCTGCTCTGGCAAGCATACCCATCCTTCTTGTAGGCTGAGAGGAAGAGCTTCATCCGACTTGCTGACCTGTCGGTCCCCAACAGTCAGGCTCTATCCTTTACTTCTCTTCTAGGCTTGGAATTGGGTACAGATATAGTGGGGGAGAGGGACGGGCAGAGCCAGCTGAGCCCATAGACTCTCCTTAACACTTTCTCCTTAGGGGTACGTCTACACAGCAGCGTTATTTTGGAAGAACTGATGTTATTCCAGAATAACAAAGAGCATGTCTGCACTGCAAGCCTTTATTTCGAAGTAATGTCAAGCAGGAAGACTTCTTACTCCGACTCATGGTAATCCTCATTTCATGAGGAGTAAGGGAAGTTGAAGCAAGAGTGTTCCTCCTGTGACTTCCTGCTACATAGACAGCACCTAAATCCAAATTAAGTCATTTAAACTTCAGCTATGCAATTAACATAGCTGAAGTTGGATAACTTATTCTAACCTTAGCCCTGCTGTGTAGACGTACCTCTGATGCGGGGCCTCTCTATCCCATCTAATTTTGCACTCCCTGATCTTTCCCCAATCAGCTCTCCCCCTTCACAAGATAGGATCAAAATTTGAGTGTTGTGTTGGATGTGGAAGAAGCAGGGGGAGAGAGATCAATTTCTGTAATTTCGGTACTGGTATCTTTCATGGCATGGAGTCAACATAAAAGGGCATGGTTGCTAATTAAAGTGAAACTGTTGTAAAGAAGGTAGCACAAAAGCAAGTCCACTGTCTACCTCGCTGACAATAACTCTTTCTTGATTAGTGAATAGGCCATTCCCCTTCAGGAATAATTTACAAGTAAGGTACAGGATGGGGCATGCTTCACCCATCCACCAACTGGGACAAGAAAGACCCTAGTCCCATATCAGAGGTATTGCTCTGTAGCAGGAATTGTCTGGTGAAGCTTCAGCTATGAGACAGGCTCTCAGAAACTATGAGCCCAATGGGTTTGAAAGGACTTTCACAAGTGTTGCTCCATTGGAATGTCTTTGGGTTATTAGTTTTAGCAAGATCAGTAAGGGAGGCTGCAATGGTCAAAAAGCCAGGAATACAATGTTGGTAGTACCATACTAGCCTTAGGAAGTAGTGTACTTGTTTGAGGTTGGTATGGGGCACTTGTGTAGAGCCTGGACCTTATTCTCAAGGGCTGCACCTTGCCCTTTCCCAGAGTGTACTTAATGTGGGCCAAAGACAGTTAGTAGTCAGAGAACATGGGACAGCAGTTATATGTTTTAGAGGATCTTCACAAGTTTGATTACAGAATACAGGTGGGGTACTTTAGTCCAGCAGGCTCATTCAATTTGAGAGCAGACCTGTTTCACCTTGAAAGAGATTACCAAACCAAAGAAATCAGAAACTAGTTCTGGTGCCCAGATCTTACCAGTGTGTGGTCATGCAATTGTCCCAGGGAGCTCCTGGACTAGAGAGCCCTGAAAGCTCAGCAGCAGGGAGTGGAGCTGGGAGCGAGCCCAGAGTCCATCAGCCGAGGGGCAGAATTGACCTTCTGGGTCCAGCAAATGCCCTCCTTTGGGACCAGTCAGATCCTGAATGTGCCAGGGAGGTCCATCCTGTACATCATCCAGATATGCAGCAGCATGTTATGGAGCTGGAACACCTGGTCCATTAACCTTCTCACCATGGCTGGAAGGGTGACAGAATCCAAAACAACAAATCCAGAACTGAAAAAGGTCAAAAGAGGTATCACGGTTGTTTTTTTTCCAGGAACGAGGGTAATACTCTCTTCCTCAACCAAGAATTAGTTTCACTTGGCACAGGGTTGACGTCAACTTTCAATATGGTGTTGACTTTCCTGAAATCTATGCAAAAGCAAATAGTTCCAAAGGGGTATAGAGACCAGTGATATTGGGCTCTCAAGTAACTAAACTCCCCGCTTACTCTCAGAACCAGCTCATTGAAGCAAGAGTGCCAGTCAGTTTCTCTCATCTTCAAGTGAAGGACTTGTGGATTTTCTTGGACTCATTATTCAACATGTGATGGGTGATCAGATGAATTCACCCGGGCTGCATAGAAAACACAGTGGAGAAGGCAGTGGGGCTGGACCTTCTGTTCTGAAATAATGTTGCTCCCAATTTTGATCATCCCAGCGCTCAAGACTGCAGTTCCAATACTGTACATTCAAATGATACATTCATGAGTGGCAGCGGAATACTGAGAGCTGAATACTGTGCAGAATACTGAGAGCTGGTGTATGAAGCACAAAAGTTAGGGACGTCCACATACACTCCTGGACAAAAGTTAGAATTCAAGAATTCAAGCCAGTGTTTCTCTGTCCCTAAGTGCCCCATGAAGGACCTGGTATGGACCAGTTGCATGACCTCCAACTGGTAGGATCTGGGCACCAGGAGCTGGTTTCTAATTTCCTTGGTATGGTAGTCTCTCTCAAGATGAAACAGGTAGTCGACCTTCTCTCAAAGTGAAGAAAGCTTCAGCTTGTCAAAGTTCCACCACTTCCCCGCTGACACAATCATTTGGGTACAGGGCCATTTCAGCACGTCATCAGTTTTCTGCTCTTCAATGAGGTTGTAAATTTTGTTATGATCTTATACTCGGGAAAAGGAATAGTCGCCGAGCTAGGATTATACAGGGCTTTGCTCTGTTTGGCTAATGCCAAGGTGATTGGAAGTCTCCTCACTAGGAGAAGGAACATCTCCCGCACCAGGTTCACTAAGGTTTGTGCAACTGAAGGGAGACTTGTTGCACAGAAAAAGGTCCCAGAGATTCCTTCATCAGATCCCTGAAATATTCCCAATCTCAGCCATTAATAACTGGATAGGCAAGGAATGGGAACCAAACCAACTATTATGCTCCTCCACAATTAGCGTATCTTCTAAGCGAGGACAGGGTTTCACATCCTTGTATACAGTCGGAGGATAGCTTCCTGGTATGATCTAGGACCATTGTGTCCAACCAGTTCTGAAGCAGTAGCAATGGCTACTGCCATAGCAAACTAGCCACACAACAGGCCAAATAGCCACATGTGGCTCGTGGCTAGCATGTTGGGACACCATGGACCTAGGATCAGTGACCACTACATGAGCACATGTAGAATCCAAAAGACCTACCCACTTCTGTCTTAGTCACCCTTATGTGCAGGGCTTGACAAACCACTGTTTCTACTTGCCTGTGGCAGGCTGAAATCTACTTGTCGCTCCATGCGCCCCATTCACTGACGCTGCACGCATGCGCAATGCTGGTCTGGCGCATGTGCGGTGCAGGGCTGGCAAGTAGCTCTCGCTGCAGTTTGTCAAGCCCTGCTTATATGGGTGATCAATTTCATGATCTTCAAACAAGGGATGTAAGTTTATCGGATAGTTGACTTGACTAGTCACTCCCCCCCCCCCGGCTGCCTCTATCAGAGAGAGGCAGCAAAGGGGGGAGCAGGAGCCGGTGCTGGGAGAAGACATTTTAAGCCGGTTCTCCCCAGCACCGTCTCTGTGGAAGAGGGAAGGGGTGCACAGTGGGGAACTGGCTGCACTCTCACCTTTGAAATGCCAACACCGGGGCTCTTGCTACATTTCAAAAGCAGAAGCGACGCAGAAACGGGACTGCACTTCCACCTTTGAAATGTAGCAAAAGCCAGCAGGAGGTGCCCTTATCGACTAATTGAATAGTCCATGCAAATTGAATCACCTATTTGATTAATTGATTAAACTAAATTTAACATCCTTATTTCAATCGTGGCTACCACTACCCGGATATGCCCAAAGCTGCATTTCATGAATGGGAAATCTTGGGACCAATGTCAAGACTGTCATACCAAAAAGCAAATGCTTTTTTGCTGTGATCAGTGCCTCCAGGATGCCTGAAAGGTCCCCTCTGATTGGAGTCCCCCTACTTAACTTTCCATTATTATTCCCTTCTTAAAGCCAGGCAGGCTGCTTGTTTCTTCAACTGGGACCAGGTCAACATGTCTACAACTCTGGTCCAGGCAACACACAATCTCCTGAGTCATGGTGAGGAATCAGCAGTGTGCAATCTCCCCTACTTCCAAAGCTGTCAACTTCTCTTGGCTGCACACTCATTTTCCTTGCCGGTCCGTTGGCCCTAGTAGACCATTAGCAGAGTATCGTCATGAGGATGTTGGATTCCAGATAGTTCACCATTATAGGCAAAACATGTCAGTCATTGTTCTGAGGTGATGATGTATGACCCACTCCTTTCCCTCAGGGTGGTGGCGTGGAAGTACCTAGGTGAACTGTTTTAATAATATTCTCTCAGCCACCTGGGCTCCTTTCTTCACCTCAGGTCTGAGCCATCTCCAATACAAATCTCATACCTCTTAAGCAACTGGGTGGTGAAGTGGGTGAGGGAGAAACCATGTTCTCAGAGTATACAACTCTCTGCCTCAAAATGTCAGAATATCTCTTCAGAGACATCTAGAGCATTGTGGCTGGCCACTTTGACCTGTGAATACTCTTAGGCAGTAAAAGAGTTTAAGCCCCTAAGATATTTGCACTCTGCTAGTTAAATATAGGGCAAGCAAATCTGCCTGCTATTCAAGGGGCCACCAATCTACTTTAACTACCTGTTCAAAGGTTTTGAGGAAAGCCTTAGTGTAACTATTAGACCTGGTCTTTATTATTGACAGGAATATGGGGATACTGCTAGGTCTAGGTCTGCTAGGTCTGTAGTGGATGGCTGTATTATGGTGACCAATTTTTATACCAACCACTGAAGTGATGGGCTGCTAGATCACAGATTAACTGCTAATGATACTTGGTCATATGCTGGAAGAGTCTGGTGAGCATTCTGCTCAGCCATACACTTCAGCAGCTAATCCATATGTATCCAGCTATGGGGCAAGTGGCATTTGTTTAGGATCCCTCATCTCAAGGTTTAACCAGCTCCCTTCCATATAAAATATATCATTGCCTGTCTGCATTTGCCATAAAATCCATCACATGGTGGGAACACCACTTTCTTGGGGACCATCTAGATACCATAACACAAATGCAAATCTTAAGGGAGGGGGAGAAGAGTCTTCACCTCCAACACAGACTATTGCATAACTCCAGACCACCAGCTAGTTGTTCTTTCTATGTTATACCCTCTCCGGGGAAGGGGCGTGAGGGGCACCTCAGATGCCAAAACAAAAAGAAAACCCAATTCAACACGGGGCCATCCCCCAGACTTCCAGTGGCTACCCCATCCTTCTCTTCAGGCTTATTTCCCATAGTCACTCTCTTGTATGTTGCTCACTCCTGAGATCTAGCTGGTCTAACTAATTGGCCTATCCTACTACAGCTCTGCAGAAAAAGCTCCATTCAGGTGGAGCTTTGCACCTCACTCCTAACCAACCAGCTCCCAACTGAGGCAGGTTCTCTCTCCTTTACCTCCCTCCCCCAGGGTTTGGCAATGGCTGCAAGTATAACAAGGCAGGGCTAGCTGAGACCACAGATTACCTTAACTCTTTTTTTGCTAACATGGCGCATCTGCCCCATCACACAGTGTGAAAAAAGTGTTTCAGTGGGCACTGTGAAGGTTCTGAGCAAGTTGCCAGTGCAATTCTTGGAGCTGTAAAGTATAAGACTGGCTGTTCTATCATGACACTATCCAATTTATTTTCCTGATCTCTCTACAAAGACAGGGCTTTGCCCACTGTCATACCCTGCACTGGTCCTGGTGGTCAACTTTAACCTCACTAAGATTTGCTTATCTCCTCTATTTATACATAACAGATGGCATTAGCCAACTTTAGTGTTTAACAGAGAATTCTAAAGGAACTGTGTAATGCTTTTATTCCTATTAATATTTTTGGAGTGAGAAATCTAACCTGTGCCTAGAAGTAGAAGGAGTTCTCCTCCTTCTTGATCGTGATCTTGATCTTGAATGCCTTCGTTTTTCATCTTTTTTATCTGGAATTAGGAAGAAGCATTAGTACAAAGATACAAATGGTATGTAATCTTCAAGGAGATCCATAAAAGGAAAAGGAAATGTGTAGATTTGCACCTTCTTTAGACAAAGAAGCAAAAGAAATCCTGAAAAGTTGTTTTTAGTGGGATTTTTTTCTGAAAACATCAGAAATTCGAGTCTGGTTTATCCTGGTTTTGGTAGACACTATGGAGAACTAGTAGAATATGACATAATATGTAACAATGACATAAAACCAGATTTAGAAGGGAAGTGATTTTTGTTCATACTTATGAAAACTTTTGTTAATACCTGCTCAAATCAAGCATTTAGCTGTGGGAAGAAAAGCTTGTTACGTTTCAGGATTCTGCTCCTTCATATAAGGACTGAGAAACCCCTTAACTCATTGCTTTGGATCCTTTAAAAAAAGGAGTCCTATAGCAAAACTCCAGAACACTAGAGTTAACATTTCTGATCATCAGAGTTTCTCTCAAGTACCCTTCTCCCCCAAAATAAAGTTAATGCATTCCAACTTCTTTAACTTAACATAAAGCAACAAAAGAAGAGAGGACAACCACATTCCTTTCACCTTTCTTTCACATTCTTTCTGGTTTATTATGTGTCAATTTAGCATTTGAAAATGAATTTACCTCTCACTGAAACAGAATTTGTATCCCAAACTGTGACAAAAGTGGCTTTTTTTCCTTTTTGCTCCTTCCTAATCTGCTCACATGAACCCTAGCAATCACTGAGAATAACATGCTTTACCAACAACCAAGTGAACTAACTACTTAATATTTAACAATAAAAAAAACTTTAAGCACAGGTAACTATAGCAACCTCTCTAATGTATTCTGGGGATGACTTAAGACGCATCATTTATCAAAGTGCAATTGATTAAAGATGATGAAATATCTCTTCCACTAATTTATTCTCCAGAGCACTCTTCCAGCATTTACATAACATAGAATAATTGCATGGTCTAAGTGAGATGCAGGTGAATCATTCAGCCACTTTTACAGAATCTTCTGATGTGTGTGACACTTTACAATTTAAAAAAACCCTTATGATTAGTGGAATAAGGAAATATGTAAACTTAAATTAAAAGGGCTTATAATCTTCAAAACCTAAGGGAATATATTTCCAAAAATTGTGTTTAACCAAATATTTAAAAGCAGTTCAATTACCTGGCTCTATGGCAGCAGAAATCAGTGATTGTGCTTCTCGTACTCTTTTCATAGCTTCCTCTATTTCTTTACTGGACGTATCAGATTTCAGACTTGGTGAGACAAGACCTGCAGCTACATGGTTCAACCTGGAACAAGCCATTAAGTGAAGTGAAAATTTAATTTCAGATCCAAAATACTGACTTTAAAAAATACTTGCCTAGACTGGAAAAACTTGGTTGGAATAAGGGGAAAACATTGGTGAACTACTCTTGGGCTGTGTCCAGACTCAGGGTTTTTTTTCGAAAAAAGTAGCCTTTTTTCGAAAAAAAAAACTTCACCTGTGTCTAGACTGCAGCCGCGTTCTTTCGAAATTAAATCGAAAGAACGCGGCTTTTCTTTCGATGGCGGTATACCTCATTGCACGAGGAAGAACGCCTTTTTTCGAAAGTGCTCTTTCGAAAAAAGGCGTTCTTGAAAGCAAACAGGGCTTTTTAGAAAGAGAGCATCCAGACTCACTTGCTGCTTTCTTTCGAAAAAGCAGCTTGCTTTTTCGAAAGTTCCGTATGCAGTCTAGATGCTCTCTTTCGAAAGAGGCTTGCAGTCTAGACATAGCCTTGGAGTAGCCCAAGGAGATTACAGTTCCAAATCCAACTCCCTCCTCCCAGTCTCTACTGCTTGGGGAAGAGAGTAATGTGTACTGACTGGTTCTACTACCTGATTTAGAGTGTGCTGATGTAAATACGTTGCTCACTCCCCGTAGCCCCCTTCTCTCACAAGAGGGCAGGGAGAAACAGAGACGATAGATGGACAGATGCCATATGTAGAAGGCTCCACAAAGCTGCTATGTGCTGGAAGTTAGGTATCAGCATGAGGGACAGATTACATCCTTTTATTCTCTTGAGCTAGTATACCAATATCCAGCCCAAAAGTAGTAAGGGGTCCATTTACTGTCTTGCACAGATACCTGTTTCCAATGTTACTTTTCCAAATACAGGCAGTCCCCGGGTTACGTACAAGATAGGGACTGTAGGTTTGTTCTTAAGTTGAATTTGTACGTAAGTCGGAACTGGCGTCCAGATTCAGCCGCTGCTGAAACTGACCAGCGGCTGACTACAGGAAGCCTGAGGCAGAGTATCTCTGCCCAGGGCTTCCTGGAATCAGCTTGGGGACACCTGGGGTAGAGCAGCTGGGGACCTACCCGGCAGCGCCCCAGCTGCTCTACCACAGGCGTCGGTGAGAAAAGCCTGGTCTGCTTGGGGGGCGGGGGAGGGGAAGAGACCAGGTGAGAAAAGCCTGGTCTGCTGCAGGACCAACCCGGCTGAGCGTCCCCCCGCCCCCCGCCCCAGCATACCAGGGAGACGCGGAGCAGCTTTTCTCGCCCCGGAGGACATGGGCGGTGGGACTGCGGTGCGTCTGGGCTGTCCCGCCGCCCGCATCCTCCGGGGCGAGAAAAGCCCCGTTTGTAAGTACGGATCTGACATAAGTCGGATCTGCGTAACCCGGGGACTGCCTGTATTTCTGAAAAGGCAACAATTTTTATTCTCATCAACAGAAAAAGTAACTCCTTAAAGGAAAAAGTAAACTAATTCAGACTGATTTTCCCTATAGAACACCAGATTCTGTTTTAACATCTAGTTTTTAGAAGTCAACTTGTTCCAGTGCAAGATGTACTTAGACTTGGACCAGGTCTACACTAGACCCAGAAGGTCACCTTAAGGTAAGGAACTTCAGCTACTTATATGACATAGCTGGAGTTGACGTACCTTAAGTCAAGTTTGGCACGATCTCCACAGCGGAAGGTTGACGGGAACAAATGCTTTGGTCAGATTCTCTTACTCCTCGCAAATCGAGGATTACCAGCATCTTAGCGTTCAATTTAACAGGCCTAATAAGGACCTGCTAAATTGAACACCACAAAAATCAGTCTCTGGCATGGTAAGTACAGATTTGTCTTTACTTGTAGCTAATGGTTTTAAAGGATTAAAGTGACCACAGCCCAAATTTCTTTATATAAAGGGTATGGAATGATGAAAAGCTAGTGAGAACCATCTTTTCCTCCCAGGAAGCCAATTTCCTCTGGTATTTATTTGGACACGTGTGGAAAACAGGGTGAATGACATGAGACAGCACCCTCAAGAGAACGTCTGCTCCAAAATAAAACTTTGTAAGTACTGAAAGCTATTATTTGCACTTACTTTGGATCCACCGTGCTCATAAGCTTTAGTAGCTGATCTGCCGCAAGAGACTATGAAAAGAGATATTAAAACATATTGATACGAACTTTGCTTAAACACATTAACATGTTAACCACTGCAAAGGCTCCCCACCCCTGAGAGGCATGTAGCACGCAGAGAGCACATGGCCCCCACAGCCCACTTAAGTCAAAGTTCCCCAAAAGTGTTTTCTGTGGAACCCTGATGCTCCACATGATGGGTCCAGGGGCTCTGTGAGAAAATATTAATGACAGTTTTATGATCCTGTTATTTTTTTTTATTAATTTTCTGATAATTTTCTTGAAAAAGTTATAAGATACAATAAATAAAAATAGAATTCCAAAATGTGTCTATTTGGATATCTTAAGTCAAAGTTCCCCAAAAGTGTTTTCTGTGGAACCCTGATGCTCCACATGATGGGTCCAGGGGCTCTGTGAGAAAATATTAATGACAGTTTTATGATCCTGTTATTTTTTTTTATTAATTTTCTGATAATTTTCTTGAAAAAGTTATAAGATACAATAAATAAAAATAGAATTCCAAAATGTGTCTATTTGGATATTCAGGGGTAGGCAAAACGGCCTCCCCGCCAAGCGGGTTAATCCGGCCCACAGAGGCCCTGACATTCCCCTGCCCACAGGCCAATTAGGGCCTGGGGAGCACGCAAAGCTTCCTCCCACCCTGTAAGCAGCACACAGCGCTTTGAGGCGCTGCGCACAGGATGGGAGGAGACATCATGTGCTCCCCCGCCCCCAAGCTCTGACTGGCCTGGGGGCAGGAGGAGCGTGCAAAGTTTCCTCTGCCCTCTCCCCGCCTCCTGTGAGGAGTGCATGGCACCTCAAAGTGCTGTACGCTCGTGCAGGGAGGGAGCAGGGTGGGGGAAGCTTTGCACAGCTCCCCCGCCACATGGTCAATTAGGACTTGGGGATGGGGGAGCACATGACATTTCCTCCATGCCCTGCGCGTGGCTCTTTGAAGGTCAATCAGGGCCGGGGCAGGGCAGGGGGTCAGAGAGTGTGCAAAGCCTCTTTCTGCCCTGCCAGGGGCCACTTGAAAATTTTTTGAAGTGGCCCCCGGCCAAAAATTATTGCCCACCCCTGCCGGAGACGTTCCGTGGCTGAAAAACTTTGGAAATGCCTGTCCTAAAGTACACCTCCTGGCCAGAGCCTGTACCTGACACCCCATTTCCTCCTGCCTTGGGTCACAACCCAACCTTCTTCTCCCCTCTTGTACCTCTGTCCAAGGTCACAACCCCCTTTCATGACCTTCCAAGGACACTGCACCCCTTCCATGACCTTCCTCCAGGTCAGAATCCTCTCTGAGAATCATAAGGCTGCAAGAGACCTCAGGAGGTCATCAAGTCCAGCCCTCTGCCTGAAGTAGGACTCACCCTAACTAAATCATCCCAGCCAGGGCTTTGTCAAACTGGGTCTTAAAAACCTCTAAGACTGGAGATTCCACCACCTCCCTAGGTAACCCATTCCAGTGCTTCACCATCCTCCTAGTGAAATAGTGTTCCTAATGTCCAATCTAGACCTCTCCCACTGTAACTTGAGACCATTGCTCCTTGTTCTACCATCTGTCACCATTGAGAACAGCCTTGCTCCATTTTCTCTGGAACCTCCCCTCAGGAAATTGAAAACTGCTATCAAGTCCCTCCCTTACTCTTCTCTTCTGCAGACTAAATAAGCCCAAATCCCTCAACCTCACCTCCTCGGTCACATGCTCCAGCCCCCTAATCATTTTGGTTGCCCTCCACTGGACCTTCTCCAATGCATTCACATCCTTTCTACAGTGAGGGCCCAGAACTGGACACAATACTCCAGATGTGGCCTCACCAATGCCGAAAAAAGGGGAATAATCACTTCTCCAGATCTGTTGGAAATACTCCTCCTATTGCACTCTAATATGCCATTAGCTTTCTTGCTACAAGGGCACACAGTTTATTCATATCCAGCTTCTCATCTACTGTAATCCCAGGTCCTTTTCTCCTGAACTGCTATGTAGCCAGTTGGTCTCCAGCCTGTAACAATGCTTGGGATTCTTCTGTCCCAAGTGCAAGACTTTGCACTTGTTCTTGTTGAACCTCATCAGATTTTTTTGGCCCAATCCTCCAACTTGTCTAAGTCACTCTGGACCTTATCCCTACTCTCCAATGTACCTACCTCTCTCCCTAGCTTAGTGTCATCCTCAAACTAGCTAAGGGTGCAATCCATTCCCTCATCCAGGTCATTAATAAAGATGTTGAACAAAACTGACCCTAGAACTGATCCTTGGGGCACTCTGCTTGAAACCTACCTTCAGTCAGACATCAAGCCATTGATCACTACCCGCAGAGCCCGACAATCTAGCCAGCTTTTCAGCCACCTTACAGTCCATTTTATTCATACTCCCTCAAAGACTCTGCACCCCCTCCTACACTCCAATCTCCTGACCCAGGTTACACCCCCCTTCTTCTAACTCCCTCAGACCCCACATCTCTTCCTGTACCCCAAGCCCTTACTCTGGGCTCCTTTCCGCACCCAACCTCCATCATGACTATCATGAAAAAGTGCAGCCCTTGATCACTTGCAAATTGTTGGGAATAGTTCTCCACAAAAAGTTATTGCCCACCCTTGAGCTAAATGCTCCCCTTTTAATATATGCCAGTCAGTAGCATCTTTTCAAGAAAGGATCAAGACAATTTCTTTAGACTATCTGTGGTGTTTACAATTTATCTCTGAATTGTCTTAGGCAGAGAGCTTGCTCACCTACCTGTTCATTCAACATGACTATTTTTACTTGTACAGTACGATGTGTGTCTTTTTCTATCGATTTCCTCTAACCCATACATAAACTGTAACTTTCCTGCTCTTACTTAAGAATATCCAGAAGCAAACTTGTATATAAAGCCACCTGACACTTATTATAATTTGAAAGCACAAATGGTACATTAACTGCTAACAAGTCTCATTTATAACTACTTGTTATTTAGCAGATGACAACTTGCAGAGCGATCCAATGTGAATTGTAATCAAATTGCTAAGCATCCAAAAAGTACATCTATCATTTTAAATTTGATTTTTTTTCCCCAGTAGGTAGTTTAACATGAACATTTTGAACAATTTAAGTGCTTAGCTAACACGTAAGCAAAGTTTGTCCAAATGGTCAGTTTATTATGCTACATTAAAAGGTCACTATAATAGCAAAAAAAAGTAGAATCTGCATGATGCCCATTACTTCAGTGATTCCTGTACTAATACATTAATAATTTAACTCTGTCTCTGATACAAGACACCAGTGTCTGAGAAACCCTACAGTATATCATTAAAAAATTAAGATGGACAGTCTATTTCTAGGACTGTGGCAGTGTTTCTCAAAGTGGTCTGCAAAACCATTCTGAGAAAACTGCTAACTGGCCACTCCAGTGCATTTATTTATCAGCTCCGCAGTCATGGAGCCTCGCAGCTCCCATTGGCTCTAGTTCACTATTTGTGGCCAAGAGGAGTGCAGGAAGTGGCGTGGGCTGGGCTGCCGCTTCCCACAGCTCCCCTTGGTTGCAAACAGCGAACCAGAGCCAATGGGAGCCACAAGGCTCCATGGCTGTGGAGCTGGTAAATGAAGATACTGGAGTGGCCAGTTAGCAGGTTTCTCAGAATGGTTTCACAGACCAATTTGAGAAACACTGAACTATGGGTTTAAAACAGAGATGATAGATACTGTTATTCTAGTAATCATGTAGCTGCACCAATTTTAATGGTTATATGGTTACTAAAATGCTCCCCCCAAGGGCAGGGTCAACAGCCAGTACACTCCCAGCGAGCCCCCTGCCACTACACGCTGCTGCCTCTATATCAGAGGCAGCAGTGCTGGGTGGCAGCAGCCCCTGTCCGCAGTGGGGGCCCCAGCTCTCCACAGATAAGAGGCTGATCCAGCCATCGCTTATCGGTTAAATGGCTAGCTGCTAATATCCTCAGTTTAAAAAGCTGTCTTTAATTTTGGCTTGGGAAGTTTAGCTCTGAATATATTTGTACTAGTCTACCAACTCAACTTTTTTTTCAGACTGTATTTTAAACAAGCTTTTAGCAATCTAAAAGTCTGCTAGTTCAAAGTCTGGTATTCAAAGTCTTCAGCTGGAATTAACCTTTGGGTTTGGGAGACCACAATTTGTTAATATACATTAGCTCAAGTGTCAGAATTAAATTAGAAAAGAAGCAAGATTGCAAAAGGATTTTAAAAATCATTTATCAAACTGCTAGGCCTATAAACAAATGCACTGTATGATATGAAAGATGGAATTTCTACAAATAACTCGACCTTAAAACTAGGCCCAATACTCGTCCCTTGCATTTTTGTAGGACTAATTCAGGAATAAATATAGAAAGTCTTGGACTTTCAAATCAGACAATTAATATACTGGTGTATCATAATCTACTGATCAGTCTAAAAGTTTGCCAAAGTTAGTAAAGAAAAAGTTACTTATATACCTGAGAGTTTAAGTTTGCTCCAGGAAGCCCAAGAGCGGCTAGGGCAGGATCAAGAGCAGGAGCTCCCAAAGCAGCTAAAGGAACGGCACCAATCTATAACATACAGATGATAATTTAAAAAAAGGCACTGGCACAGTACAATCCCTTTATCACCACCATATTGATTAAACCCAACCTCACAAATATGTACATTAATACACCCTTTAGCAAAAATGCCAGTTCTAGATTTATTTTTTGACTTTCTATACAAACATGCTCAGACAACAATTAAAAAGGGAATTTTAACAGCGAACACTGCAAACTTGTCCAGGATTCTTTCTGTCCCATTTATCGGAACCAAGAATGCTGAAAATGATATTTTTTTAAGAAAAACCCAGGCAAGCTGACTGACCAGATATAAGTCATTAGAATTTAGAAAACAACTGCAGATACTGCAAAAGAGAATCCATCTCACTATTTTAGTTTTGGTTGATCTCCAATAATAAAAGTAAAAGGCAGTTTTAAAAATACACAATCTCTCCCCCTGATTTGTCAGTATTTATGACTGAATACACAGAGAACACACATTTCTGCATTAGATTTGTACCTACTCTCCTCCTTTAAAAGGGCACAAGATACTTTAACAGGGCCTCTGAAAATGATAATGGAATTCTGAAACATGCCTACTTAAGTTAGATACCCAACCCCCACTGAAGATCGACAGAAGCTGGGCACCTAACTCCTTTAGATATTTTTGAAAATCCACATGAGACATTACAGTTTCTGAGGAAGCCTAAATAATCATTAAAATCTATTCAATTTCTAAGGAAAACACATTTCAGATTAGCACAATTAAAGTTAAGGGTTTGTGTACAATACACATTTTCAAAAATGTGTACACAGTCCATTTTCAGAAAAAAACTAATCTTTCAAATGATAAACCAGTTTAGGATCAAGTTATTTAATGGTTTTAATATTAAGAACAAAGACTAAGAACTTGCCTCCAAAGGAGTATGGTAAGATCATCTGAATAATTCAATCCCAAACTCTTCTCCCTCATGTTTAAGAATCTTTAAAGAAATTATGCAGGCTTCCAAATATGCTAATTAAAGTTCTGAGCATGCTTGTAAAAACACAGACATCCCACTAAACAAACTACCACTGTTACACAATACAGTTCATTATGGCAGATGATTATGACCACATTCCAAATCAGCATTTAACTAAATCACTACAAATATCAATACACAATCAAATCTCTTCTTGCCATCCAAGCCTATTTGCCCAAGTGCATTAGTACAGTAGATGAAGGTCTAGCAAAATATGTACAGTATTCCCTTTCACTCCACACGAATGAAAACCTACCTGAGAAAGTGGGTTGGGAGTAGGCAGGAGACCACCTCCAGGCAGCAGACCTGCCACAGCATTAGCTGGTGCCAAAAGAGATAAAGCCTTAGTCTCATCAGGAATAATTCCTGCAGAGAAACAGCCTTGCATTAGAATACATTCTCGCTCAAGGTCAGAAAACACACAAATACACCCAGAAAATGTCTCCCTGATACACCACCTGAGTTTGCTGAAAGTACTTATGTTGGATAAAATATAAAGCTTGATTTCTACTAATATTTATCATTAAATTTTATGTCAGAATGAAACTTCAATGTGTGAAAATTTGTTCCTTTTTCTCTACAAATGGTTAAGTTTCTAGCGTAAAAAATAGCACAATACACACTACTTTTTTGTTAACACTGCCAAGATTTCATCACCTGTACTCGATTTTTAAGTCATGAACCAAACGTAAGCAAGCACAGTCGGTTCTCCAGGGGTGTGCTCTCAACTTTCAAAAGCTGTTTTATGAACAACGACTCGTGTCGGCTGCTTCACTATAAAGCACACAGAAAAATCAAGATACACAAGACAAAAAAAGTTTGATTTAGGGGTTAATAATATGGTACAGTTCACTATGATTTCTTTTACACCTACCATACAAATTTTGTAAAAATTAAGAGAAGGTAAGGAAATATTTTGTTGAACAAAGCGTAGGGCTTTTGCTGACTCGTCAAATGAATATGAAAGTGTCTGCAGATCTCCAAATATACGCTCTGTGTATATACAGTATATTGTGGCACATTCCTTACCTGTCCAGTAAAATGCGTATGGTTCCATTATGTGCCACGCTTACTGTACCAAGAATGCTGCTACACTCTGCCATTGCAGAAAAAGACTTCTGGCCCAAACTCTTGTAGCCAACTGAGACAAGTGTGGTTGATTTTACTGCCTATTCTCCATACAGAAGAATCTTATTAAGGGTCCTACTATGAAACAAATATGTACGTAGATAATTTTTATTCTATCCAACAGCAAAAGCCCTATACAGATGGATTAATCTGTTAATGTGCCCAAGCCCCCAAAATGAGAGTTCAATAATACATTTTTACTATATATTTGCAAATACCAGTAGTATTTCTGTAATACATATTGAGAAACTGCATCTCATCATAAAACATACAATAAGTACAGGGCACTTAAGAGAAACTGGATAAGCTGCAGAAGAAAACTGTTGGGTGGTATTTTCAGCAGGGCCTGGTATATAGTTCAGGCTGAACCAGGGAAAAGAACTGTAAAACACAACAACAAAAAAGAAAAACCACTGTTAAATAAAGGTAATGGTTCCTTCCACCTATACTGAGAAGTGCCGATAATATAAACAAATGTATAATACACAGCACTGTTATCTTGCTTGTGTCATTGAGCTGTCATCAATTTAGATACCAAAAGTTATGGAGGGAGGAGAGGGAAAAGGTAATTTATGATATAGGGCATTAATGCATCAATATATTAACATACCTATAGAGATTATGGGGTAATTCTGCATGCAAAATTATGTCTCAGATGATATAATAAGTTATATCTACACATTTCAAATTAGTGCAAATACATTTCTGGTATCTAAATTCAACTCCTCTCTGACTTATCTTGAGACACCTCATAGAAGATCTGCATCCATTAAAAAAAGTCATGCATCTGATCCTCTTTTTTTTAAAAGTATTTAGAAATAAACAAAAACTACAATTTAAAAAAGCAATGAGGCCCCTCACCAGTTAATTTTCATGCGGCAATGTTTTTTTTTACTGCTGCTTTGTTAGAACCAAGAAATACTGCTTGAATGTGTAGAAATGAAAGAAAAAGAAACAGACAAAAGAAACAAACATTAACCAAAGAACCTAAATAACCCCCCAATCATCTTTAATATTACCAATCCTTCCAAATCTAGGAATATCACAGTGCAAATTACAATACTATGCCTTACCGTAGACTTTGTGTATAGTTCTAACACACAAAGCAACAGTCAACACCAAAATGTCAGTAAAAGCCAAAATTAGAGTGTGATTGTGATATAGGGGACTATTATCTGTGCAGTGTAATTATTAACTTGTACTTTAGTGATGGATAACATTAATACAGAATATCAAAAAGAAAACAAAATATTGGACTCCAGTTCAGCAGACTACTTAAGTATAAGCATATGGCTTGTTTTAAGCACGAGTAGTCTTGATGACTTCAAGTGTCTTCCTGTAGTGTGCTTAAATATGTTGTTGAATTGGGGTGCTAGTGATAAGTATGAAGTGAAAACTGTGCATTCAAAATCTAAAAGCAAATATTTTATTACAAAAATAAAGGACTTATATTATCTTAAAAACATGTCCAGATTCTGAATCTCCAGAACTAGACACAAGATACTGCTCTTCGTACAAGAAACTCCTAGTTCAAAATTGGCCCACTAAACTGCTAGTATTTGTTTAACTTGTATAGATCATCTTTAACACATTCTGAAATGAAACTATTGGGCATATTTCTCTAAATTCTAGGTTTATCATCAAGCAAATTGGACAAATTCATACTGACAAAAAGCATCACATTACCCATCATCAGTAATTCAAATGTTGAGTTTTAACTTCTTAAACAAGGGCCTATGAAATATTTAAATACTATTGACACAGATACTGTTATATCATGCTTTAATAATGCATAAATCAGAACAAGATGAACAAATTCCTTAAGATACACTATTTTACCCACACTAGTGTAAACAAAAGCATCTACTATGAAAGTGTTATGTAGTCTGACAAAGGACTCAATTACAGAGCATGTTACAAATTTTAAAGTAAGTAATTAAGTCTTAAGTGTTTAATTTATTTTAAAATTTTACTTTTAACAAGAACCTATGACTGTTCATCAACCCTGGAAGGCAGCTGAGAGAATTAATTAAATTGCCTTGTCAAAAATATGAACAAGATAGGCCTTATATTAAGTTTGATACTGTGATGTAACTTAATCTGCAGGGTTTTTACTCTATTTCAAAAGGATCTTAAGAAAAAAAAATGTAAGAGTAAACCAAAATCAGTATATTTGAAATGAATTATTCTAAAGCCTAGTAAAGTTTAATGAGACTTCTGTTAGAAGTGATGTCTTCTCAGCATATTGTTTTTAAAACAAGTTCGGAAAAAAACCTGCTCACTGTCTTTCAAATTACTGTAACACCCTAAAATGTAAAAAAAAAAGAAGAGAAAATGTAGTTAACAAGTGGTTACACCAGGAAAACACTTGGGGACTTGAGTGCTTGCTGGCCTTTAGTTAATGTCTAGAATCCCCTGTAGCTGCAGAGGACCCACTGTTTCAGTCATCTGGAAGGGCTTTGCATTTGCCTTCTCCACTACAAAAATCACACACACAAATAACAGAGAGAAGAGTTTATTATTCAGTGAAATTCTATTAAATACAGCAAGGCTGAACAAGAAAACTTGGAATAAAATCTAAAATCCAGTGCCCATTTGGCACCTCTTGGAAGATCTCACTTTCATCTTAAAAAGCACAATCATTCAAACCCTTGGTATACTGGAATTTACAGGAAGAGCGAACGTTTCTTCTGAGAAACTGTCAACTAAACGAAGTAGCAGGACATTGCAAAATAACTGCTAACCCACTCCTCCATTCACTCTCAAAGAGGGAGGAAAAAACTTGCACGAGACTAGAGAAAAAATACATATCCTGAATAATTCATCTTTAAGGCAACTTTTATTATGCATACGAGTTAGCATTTTTATGTCTGATTGGAAACATGTCTTAGGGACGCTGATGAATTAAGAGCATAATTTTCCAATAATTCTGCTTAAAAATAATTGCGCTCTAAATTTAAGATTTTCTTATATAAAAATATTGACAGATAAACCATCCAGCTTTTACCAGATGTCATTAAAAAAAATTAAAAATTTGCTTTAATGAAAGACATAATGACAGCATACCAAGGGTTTCAAAACATTAATATATCTTAGATATTTTACAGGTTACTAAACCTCATTCTATTAAGCTATACTGGGGTAGACTTCCATCTTATGATGACTTCATAGGTTATTAAACAATTCACAAACCTTCTGCATATGGTACGACTATCAATGCTCTGTCAACGAACACAGTGTTTGTCAGATGTTGGGCCACAACTGCTGAGTCAGGATCGTGGAACTTTACAAAACAGACCCGTGAAGAAACAGGCAAAGGAGAATCACTAAAAACAAAACAAACAATAAAACAGTATTAGATATAAAATTTAAAAAGTCACACATTCATTAAAAACACATATACACTTGCATTCTGTTTACTGCACTGAAGTCTAAAGACTAGCTAGTCACACAATATGTTTATCTTTTAGAATAAAGTTGATCATGTGTTTCTCTATGATCAATTTCTAAAAATGCAAACAAATCACAAACTTCAAATTTTAAGCCAGGAATATTATAAACATATAACTAGAATTTGTACTAACATAGGTCCTGAATGAAAGAGGTCAAACAGGAAGTAGACTCTCAGTGCCTGCATAAAAAGGCTATTTAATTTCTGTTCAATAATTAGCTCATTCAAAACTGACAGAGTTGAAAAAGCTGGACAACTTATTTTCTCTTTCCATCTACAAATAAAAACTAAATGACAGATTGAGCCATAATTTACACAATTTTGAAGGACATATTGACTAGAAGCAAATAAATTTGATTTGCTAGTGACAACACCGTTTATTTAACAAATCAATTTTAAATGCAAAACATGTTCTGACAAGTTTTATTAATGTATTCAGCACAAAAAATTTAGAATGGTGATTTTGTGAATTTTTCCGAGTACAGCATAACAAGTTATAGGTAAAATGTCAATCTAGTAAATAAGTAATGCAGCATTCACTATTTTCTAAAGCTGTCAATTAGTGGGAGTTAATGCCTGAGGGCAGAATTAATGCATTAAAAAAATTAACTTGTGTTAATTGCAGAGGTCAGCAAACCAGCATGAGCTGCTTCAGTAATGCAAACCGCCACTAGAGGGCACACGGAAAAACAAAGCAGACAGAAAGGAGGAACAAAAACTGAAGCCATGGTTCCAGCTTTTACAAAAAAAAAAAAAAAGCACTGCTAGTAGGGATGTAAGCACCTAGTCAACTATCCAAGCGTAAGCTTATCGGATAGTCAGCTAGCCGCTTCCTCCCCCCCTTGCTTGCTGCCTCTGTCACAGTGTTTCCCAAATGGTGTTCCACGGAACCCTGGGGTTCAGCAAAGTGAAAATTAGGATTCTGCGAGTAAATTCCATTACAATAAAATTTTATTATTAAAAAAAAATTTTGTACACATTAGCATTTGTTTATTATTATCCTTACTTATTTGTGGTCTACTTTTTCGGCTCCATATACAAGACTGTTATTAGGGGTTCTGTAAAAGAGTTCCGTGGCCAAATAAAATTGGGAAATACTGCTCTATCAGAAAGAGGCAGCAAGGAGGGAAGCAGGAGCCAGTTCTGGGGGGAGCCAGCTTAAAAACCGGTCTCCGTGGGGGGAAGGGAAGGAGCGGAGTAGTAAATGGTGCCAGCAGGGACTGAAGCTGGCTCCAGTTCCCACCACAGGGCTTCAGTCTCTGAAATATACAAGAACCCCATGAGGCTCTTGTACGTTTAAAAAACTGAAGCACTGCAGTGGGAACATGAGGCCAGTGGGGTCAGCTTCAGTCCCTGCTGGGCCCGTGCTCCCTATGGCCTTTCCTGCTCTGCTTCTATGAGAGGCAGCAAGGAGAAGAACAGGAGCTGGTGTTGGGGGAAGCTGGCTTAAAAGCCAGTTCCCCCACCAAGCACTATCTCCTTGGTGCCACCTACTCCTCCTACCCCTCCCCCGGTGACTATCAGAGGTGCAGGGGGAGGGGAGGCTGCTGCAAAGCAGCCCCTGTCCACAGGGGTTTCAGGGGGAAGTCTGACCTCCCCACCCCGAGGACAGAGACTGCTGCTGGACCAGCCCTTGCCCATGGACAGCCCTAGCTTCCGTGAACAGAGGCTACTCCAGCAGCAGCCTGTCTGCAGTGAACAGGGTTGTCTGCCATGAGCAGGGCTGCTGAACTCAGCATGAGCTGGGACCAACCAGTCCCAGCTCACGCTAATCACTGTGGCTCTGCATTTTAAATGTATTAAGAGCCCAGTGGCTCTTACTACAATTAAAATGCAGAGTTGCAGCACAGGTGGCTCCTGGAGCTGGTACTAGCTGGGACTGCTCAGTCTCAACTTGAGCCCGCTGCTGGAGCTACCCCCTGCTGCAGCTCTGCAGAGCGGTCCTATCAACTATACAATTAGTCTGATGACTGCATTTTAACATCCTTAGTTACTAGCCAATAAGAATCAACTTTTTTGGAAAATAAGTACAAATACAAAAGAAGATGAAAATAGATTTAAATAAAGATTTTCTGCTTGATAATGCACACTGAAATTAAAATAAATGATTCAAAGCCCACTGAGTGGGGGCCTCTGCAACTCCCAGTGCCCCCGGTAGCCATACACTCCCAGAGGGAGTTTGCCAGACCTGGGGAGGTCATCGCTCTGCTGACAGACTCCGGGCTCTCCACAGGCACGTCTGCATTCCTCCTTTGAAATGTACATAGCAGAAGCTCCCCCATAGAGCTTGGGGTCAGTGGGGAACTCAGAGACAAATGCCACAGGGAGCCTGGGGTCAGCTAGGGAGTCCCCAGCTGACCCTGGGCTCCATGCAGCACTGCTGCATTGAAGTACCCTCTCTTCCCCTGCCTCTATCTGACAGAGGGGGGTGGGAAATCGACTGACTATCCAATAAGCATTTGCTTATCAGATATTCGACTAGTCCTTAACACCCTTAATCAGGAATGTGTATTTTGCAATTCCTGTGGAACCTCACTCAATTTGGCTATGTTATAACCCTTTGTAATATCTCAGTTTGCACATGCTCTGTAGGCTTCTTAGATATTCTAAGCTAAAATCTTCAAAAACACCGTCAGCATGGAACACCCTTCAGCATAAGGCTGAACAAGACTTTCCCTGCAAGTTCTCAAGTTGCTTGAGACCACGCTAAGTCTATGACTATAGTAACTAAAGGCACATTTACACTTCCGAGAAGATCAACACTCCAGAGGTCGATCTTCCGGCGTTCAATTTAGTGAGTCCAGTAAGGACTCTCCTTTCAGTCTTGAGGAGTAAGGGAAGTCGATGGGAGAATTTATCCCAACTTCCTGCTGTGGGACTGCCCCAGAAAAAAATTATGCAAGGTATGCCAACTCCAGATATGAAATTCACATAGTTCAGGAGTGGGGAAGCTGCTGACCTACAGAAAAAAAAAATCAATTGGAGGCCACACACAAGTGAGAAGCAAAAAAACAAAAACAAACCCTCACTGAGGTGGCCCCCAACTGAGAAGCAGAAAGACACTTCCCACAGTCTCATTGCACACCTAGGCTCAGTCTATTAGATTTTGCATGCTCTAGCCTCCACGATGGGGCATGGTGTGAGGGGAGATCCTGATCCTCAGGGGCTGCTGGATCCAGGCAAGCAGGGGCCGCATCCAGCCCCATCTCTTAGGTTCACCACCATTGACATAGCTGGAGTTGTACATGTTGTATTAATTTTCTCCACCAGTGTAGACCTGGCCTGAGATCAAGAAGTATCTCTCATCTGGGCTCTCAATGCACAGGCAACATAGAGGAAGCTGCTTGATTCAAATTAAGTGAGAACAAGAGCTGAAAAAGGGACACAGTAGACTGAGAGAAGGAGTCTAGGGTGTGAAAAGAAGGAACTGGAAAGAGAGGACTGTCTGAGCAAAGAAACTGTTGAACCAGTAAAGAGGGAAGGATGTGAGAAGGGATGGGAGACAGTAGTTATAGAGACATTGTGCAAGCTGAAAATCTGGACTGGGGCAGAGCCAAGTGGCACAAGAAGTTGGCAAGAGACAATGAGATTAAACAAAGAGCTCTGGGAAAGTGACTAGAAATTTAGGTAGGGGTAGGGATGTGAAGGACTAGTCAACTAGTCCCCGCCCCACTCCCTCCTCCCGGCTGCCTCAGACTATCAGAATGAGGCAGCAAGCAGGGGGATGGGGAAGAGGGGAATTTCAAATCAGCAGTGCCACATGGAGCCTGAGGCCAGACCCTGGGCTCCACGCATTGCTGCCACTTTGAAACGCTGCGTGCAGCCTGGCTGCATGCGGCATTTCAAAGCAGCAGCACCGCACAGAGCCCAGGATCAGTGGGGGAATTCCCAGCTGAACACGGGCCCCGTGCGGCGCTGCCACTTTGAAATGCTGCAAAGAGCCTGATTCTGGGCCTCCCGTGGTATTTCAAAGCAGCAGCGCCACACAGAGCCCGGGGTCAGCAGGGGAGTCCCCAGCTGACCCCAGGCTACATGCAGCACTTTCGACTTTGAAGCGCAGCAACAGCTCTAGGGTTGTTGCTACACTTCAAAGGCAGAGGCACCTTACTGACTAATCAAATAGTCGATACAAAATGCATCGACTATTCGATGAGTCAATTACTCGCAATTTAACATCCCTACTAGGGTGCAAGTCTAGTGGAAGCTGTGGGATGAAAATATAGATCAGATGAAGAAGGGGAAAAAAGGGTGAAATGAAGTACTTGGTACCATTATTTCTATTTTTCTATCTTTATCTTCTTTGTAACCATTTTTAAGATCTATATTTTGCTAGTACAGGCAGTCCCCGGGTTACGTACAAGATAGGGACTGTAGGTTTGTTCTTAAGTTGAATTTGTATGTAAGTAGGAACTGGTACATATTGTAGGGGAAACTATAGCCAAACATTTTTTTTAGTTTTGGATAGCATAGGGAAAGGTTAACTCCCCTCTAATGTTTGTTTTGCTGTCTGTTCCCCTGTTCAGAAGATTTCACATCTATTTCTGTCCCTGTGACAAACTCAGGACTAAAGGAGTAACTCATCAAATACCAAACAGCTCTGCACCATGCTTTGAGCTAATAGCTTTATTTCCACACACCACCCAGGGTTCTAGGAGGAGGGTCCTTTTTTGCTAACACAATGAGGCCAGCACTTTGTTTGTTTTGGTGGAGTCTTTGTTTGCCCAGGGAGCCCAGCATGTATAGGGGGAGGAGGGGCGGAGAGGCTGCTTTTGTCTGCTGTTCGGCAGCCTGTTGCTCAGGGGAGGGGGCAGCCTGTTGCTGGCAGGGGGGGAGGAGGGAGGCGTGCAGAATGCGAGGCCGCGGG